TTTGAATTTTATTATCTGTTTTTTTAATAATTTGACATCTTAGGAGTAATTTTATAGAAGATTAAATTTAAATTATCTAAATCTTAATTTAATAATTTAAAAAAAAGAAAATAAAAGAATAGAGGCAGGTGATGAGAAGGGAAGAGATAGGTTTCTCTCCCGTAGAATATTAACAACTTGATATATTTACATAGACAAAGTACCCAATTCATGATCCACGAGATTGATAAAATATCAATTACTGGAGCACTGAAATTTGAAATTTTAACGGTTTGAATTTTATTATTTGTTTTTTTTATAATTTAACATCTTAGTGGTAATTTTATAGAAGATTAAATTTAAACTATATAAAATTTTGACTTAATGATTTAAAAAAAAAAAGAACAGAGGCAGGTGATGGGAAAGGAAGAGATGGGATTTCTCTCCCGTAGTATATTAACAACCTGATATATTTACATTGACAAAGTATCTGATTCATGATCCACGAGATTGATAAAAAATCAATTACCGAAGCACTAAAATTTGAAATTTTACCAGTTTGAATTTTATTATATGTATTCTTATAATTTAACATATTAGTAGTAATTTTATAAAATATTAAATTTAAACTATTTAAATCTTGATTTAATGATTAAAAAAGAGGTTAAAGTATACATTGAGTCCTTTAACTTTATATAATATTTTATTTTAATCATTTAACTTTATAAAATATCTTTTTAATTCTTTAATTATAATATTATTAGTTTTATCCTAACAAATTTTTACGTTTAACTTTCAAATATTAACATATTAAATTTATTTTTTAAAATGACAATAATTGATATAAAAAATAATTATTTAAAACTAATTATGTTAAGGTTAAATGATTTAAAAGATGTTTTATAGAATTTAAATATTAAAGTAAAATTTTATATAGAGTTAGAAGATGAGAAATATATTTTAACCCAAAAAAAGGATAACAGCGGCAGGTGATGGGAAAGGAAGAGATAGGATTTCTCTCCCGTAGTATTTTGACGACATGATATATTCACATAGACAAAGAATCCAATTCATAAATGATAAAATATTAATTACTGGAGCACTGAAATTTGAAATTTTAACGGTTTGAATTTTATTATCTGTTTTTTAATAATTTAACATCTTAGCGGTAATTTTATAGAAGATTGAATTTAAACTATATAAATTTTGATTTAATGCTTAAGAAAAAGAACAGAGGCAGGTGATGGGAAAGGAAGAGATAGGATTTCTCTCCTGTAATATATTAACAACCTGATATATTTACATAGACAAAGTATCCAATTCATGACCCACAAGATTGATAATTCAAGGATTACGCGGTGTAGCATATCCTCCACTAATATTTCAAACATATTAGAATATCCTCCACCGATTCTGTGATGTTATTTATAAATATTTCATAAAAATATCTCAATATGTGACATGTTAGTAAAAATAAGAAAGAATTAGCATTGGAGTCAAGATGTTCAATTTATATCTATCATGATTAGCTTGGTTTTGCCTTGGTCATATCAGGATGGATTTTGTTTCAATTTAAAAATAATTGAAACGAGACCTTGAAAGATGAGATAAAAAAGGAGCTCGAAACGGAACATAGAATTGCCCACGAAAAGTTTCACCTTGTCCTGAATATTTTATATGTGTATCATTTTTCATTTTGAAAATATATATTAGATATATTAAATATATTAATATAATTTATATTTATATTAATTATATCAATTATAATTTGAATAAATACAATTCTTATCTAAAACTAAGTTTTTTATATTAATAAATTTAATAATATAAAATAAGTAGTACATGGTAATATATTTTTATATATTAATATAATTTATTCTTATATCTATCTATTTAATAACTTTTGTTGTATCATATTTTTTGCCTTATTTTTAAAAAAGTAATTAGTTTAGCATATTTCAACTAAAAAAAAAGAACAATAATGTGGTGTTGTGCCTAACTTGTCTATTGTTGTTCCTCTTATAGCTTGGGTATAATTTATAATTGCTATCATAATGTTATACACTTATAGTTGTGATTGATGTAATTCAATAATTGACTTTAAATTATTGTGATTTATGTATTATTTTAATTTTAAACTTAATAAATTATGTTATTTAAAATTTTAATAAATGTTATTATCCAAATCTTTTTCCCATATTGATCAATTTATCGAGCAGTGGGACGTCTTAATCTCATCCCGATCCCATCTCGATTCTTAATAAAATGGGACAATTTTTAAGACAGGATGGAACATGAAAAAAAAAAATCAATCCAGTCTTTTTTTGGGATGAGACACGAGATAGGGTGTCTTAATTTTGTCCAATTCCTTAAACACCCCTAGTTGCAAGTCCGAACCCTTCCTGTCACAGCGGAAAAAAATAATATGAATTTTGATATAATTATATAAATTTTTTATTTTGAAGAGTACACGGGCTAGATTTTTTTTTTTTTTAAGTCTTGCCGGTTAAACATTTCTCATGAATGCTTTGTTTATCAAAACATTAGAATTAAATTAAAAACATAGATATTATTTTCTTTTAAAACATGTATATTTTTTAAAATAGTTATAATTGGAATATTACACTACATTTATAATTACAATTCTAGAAAAATAAAAAACACTCTGTAAGTCTACTCTCTCCAAATCATAATATAGATAATTTTCTATAAAGTTTACTTAATCCAAAATATATTACATTTAATTGGTGTAATGTATTTTTTTTCAATGACAACTTTACTTTACTGAATAATTAATGAAGGTGTTTTAAATTAATCAAATATTATGTTTATTATAGTCAAGGTCACGGTTAGAAAGATGTGAAATTTTTTCAAAAATGAAGATCTTGATCAACTTTTTTTGTAAAACAAAAAATAACTAACAATAACTTATATCATTAGTTCAGAAGATTATTTAGTTTATATAATCTAAAATAAAACCAAGGGAAGTGGCAATTAGGGACCCCTTAAGGCTATGAATTATAATTGGAGATCCTAAATTATTGAAATCATAAGTGTGGAGGGGGGATCAATCGGAGCCACAGTATTTGCTAATTTTTTTAATTTTTTTTAGTAAAATGTAAGGGTTATATACTTTTAGCTCTATAAATTGACACATTATAGAATCTTTAGGACACTAGATGAGATGCTCATTTCAATTTTACAGTAATCTTTTATGCATATATAGTTTAACTGTTTCGATGGTTTGAATATATAATTGTCATAAAATCTATTTATTTTTAACAAGATGGTGTTGCGGTTGCTCTTAAAGCATTGATATCATTTGATTTTGTTTTATATTTGATGAAATAAATTATAAAAATTATTACTAATAAACTTTGTCAAACACTGCAACAAAAGTCTCAAGATATATTGAATGCTACGTACTCAATATTAATCATAAAATCATTGATTCAAAAGTTACGAGATCGTGATTGAGATATCTTATTCTAAAAAAAAATTACTTTTTTCTATAATAATAAAGCTATTAAAATTTATTATATAGATGATTTTTACTATGATGTACCTATTTCTCATCGACATATAGAATTCATGACAAATGAGTATCATTATTGTGTTGATATATTTATTTACAATAATTATTAATTAAAAAAATTAAATAGTGAATTCAGCAAATAAGTAATGTATTTTTTAGATCGAATAAACTTCGGATCCCAATTATGTATTTAAATGATTCAATGTTTAAAGGAAAGATAAAATGTTCACCAATTTAATAATAATCTCTATTGAAAAAGAAATTGCTAAAAATTTTACCATAGACATGATAATTAATTATCCTCGTGCCTATGAAAAATTGATGAGTAAAACTTTAAAAATGAAGATATATATTTAATTTTGTAGTATATATGTAAAATTGAATATAAATATATATTTTAAAATATTTATGTTATGTCAATGATATATAGATTTAACCTTCTTTCAATTGTTATTTATACTTTATCATCTCGGCCTCATAGTAAAATTTTCTAGCTCCTTCCTTGATTGAAATCCTAATAGTAAATAACAATCTTTACTTAAAATTAAAAATAGAATAACTTAAAATGCCTTTCAGAAGTGACTTTAGTAAATTTTCAAACAATCATTATATTTTTACAAGTGTTCCTAAAAAGTTTTAAAAGTGAATTTTAATTTCATGTTGAGAAACAATTCATTTACAACTATTGTTCATTTGTTTTTCAATTGATATTAACAATATTCTTACTTGATGATAGTAATTTCAATGATGTTAATTTTTTTTTTATTTTTCAAGTAATCTACCTATATACTAACAAGTATACAAATTTACAAGTGATTAGGTTTATAATTATAAGTTTTTGAGTCACTATTTATTTTAATTTTATATTGGGCAATAATACATTCCCAAATCCCAACTATTATTCCTTAGATTTAGATTAACAATATTTTTATCTCACGATAGTAATTTTAACAGTATTATTTTTTTTATTTTTAGACAGCCTACTTATATATCAACAAGCATAAAATTTATAAGTGATTAGAATCATATTCAAAATTGACTTTAGTAAATTTTTAGTGGTTGTTGTATATTTACAAGTGTCATTAAAAAGTTTAAATGGTAAATTTTAGTTTCATATTGAACAAAAATTCATTCTTAACTATTATTTCTCAATTTTTCACCCAAGGTTAATAATATTTACATCTCATAATAGTAATTTCAGCAATGTTATTTTTTTATTTGTTAAATGAAGGGTAATTTTATAAACTTATGCACATTTTTAATTTTAAATAAGGACAACAGTTTATTATTAAGATTTTAATAATTTGAGATTCCCGATGATAATTAATGGTCCCGGGGTTCCTAATTGTCATTGTCCCATAAAACCGAGCCTGCCATCATCGCAGCATATCAACGGGCAGTATAAAAAGCAAGAAAAAAAAAAAAGTAAATAAACTAATTTAACCAGTAATCGGAAATAGAATTTTCACACCCAAGCTCATTTTTGGCCAGCCCAAAAGTGTACGGAAGCCAGTGGCTTTGATAATGGTACCAAGAAGAGAAGAGTATTGATACCGCTGAGAAATCTGAATAATATCCTTTGACAAAAAGGGGGGAGAGAGCGATATCTTCGCAAGGGGTTCAACCCGATTTCAAAGTTCCTCTGGCTTTCAATCGTGCTACAATCGAAGCTCGTTTCCATACATCATTCATTCAGGTAGTTCGCTTGCTTTCTCTTCCTGATAGTTATTATCTGTTCGCTTTGTCTATTGGCGAGAAACTTATCACCATCTATTCGTTTTCCGTTTTATCGCTCACCTGATGTTGAATTTCATATAACTCGATGCTCTCAGAAATCTGATTCACTCTTTCATTCGCAAGATATAACGCATTTTCTTCATACTCCGATGCTTAATTTGATCTGTTTGCCTGCAGGTTACAAATTTTTTTCTTTTAACATTTTGATTTAGTAGGATCTTCCATCTTCCGATAGCTTTTTTTCAATTTTGTTTTTCCTCCAAAGTTCTGTGCTGGATGGATTTCCTGCTCATAACCCCCTTTCCCTATATTATTCAAGTTCAAGACCTCCCCCCCGGGGGAACCTCCTTGCTTTCTAGATAGCTTGATCATCTGTGCATGATGCTTTCTGTATAGCTTGTTCATCTGTGCATTATGATTGATCAGGGTTATGGTCTGTGCATAAAGTGCACGCATAGTAGTATTGTCAATCAGGAAGCCGAGTTGGTCTTTACCATTTCCTTGTAAACAACGAAGTCAAATATCTGCAGCGATGAGAACTTCGTGGGCAGATTCTGTCGACAACTCAGCAATTGGTTCTTCAAATGCCAATGCCGCGCGTCCTTCTCGGTCAACGTATGTTCCACCACATCTTCGTAATAAGCAGCCATCTTCAGAACCCCCTTTGACATCACAGCCATCTTCGTTACCGGCTAATGATCGGGTAAATTTTAGTGGGTCGACTGCTGGGTATCGCGGAGGCAGTTTCTTTGATAAAACTGATTATGGAAGGCAGGACCATGGTTCTAGTGGTCGAATTGGTGGGGGTTGGAACAATAGAGGCGGAGGGTGGGACCGTGGAAGGGAGCGTGAGGTTAACCCATTTGAGAATGATGAAGCCACAGATCATACTTTTAGTGAGCAAGAAAACACAGGCATTAACTTTGACGCTTATGATGATATCCCTGTGGACACTAGCGGGGAGAATGTGCCTCCTGCTGTAAATACTTTTGCAGAAATAGACTTGGGTGAGGCATTGAATCAAAATATAAGGAGGTGCAAATACGTCAAACCAACTCCAGTTCAGAGGTACGCCATACCAATTTCTCTTGCGGGGCGAGATCTGATGGCTTGCGCTCAGACAGGATCAGGCAAGACAGCTGCCTTCTGTTTTCCTATTATAAGTGGAATCCTGAGGATGCCACATGTTCAAAGACCACGTGTAGCTCGAACTGCTTTCCCTCTAGCTCTTATCCTATCTCCTACCCGGGAGCTTTCATGTCAGGTGGGATTCTATTTTTATTTTCTACTTTCCTTTGCTTCTGTAATGTATATTGTCTTAAAGACCGCAATATGAGTGCGTGCGTGTGTTTTTAATTCCTGGTTTCATCCCCTTGCAGATACATGATGAGGCTAAAAAGTTTTCCTATCAAACTGGTGTCAAGGTGGTAGTTGCTTATGGAGGAGCACCAATAAACCAACAGGTTCTTTTTACCATCTAATGTTCATGTCATGCTGATTTCTTGATGTATTTATTGCTACTGTATTATTTCTTTTACTTGTTTAATTTTCCATCGCCTACTTGACAATAGATCTATACCACTGCATGCATTGTGCATGTGTATTTATAGAAATGATTTTGTATGATTCTTGGATGCAAGGGAAAATCTCGATCTTGGGACTTCGTAAAATAGTATGATATCATTTTAATTTCTATAATGGCAGGGGTGTGGAGAAACATGGTGTAAAACATGGTCTGAATTCTGAAACATATTGGGCATGGAAATGGAGATGAGAGTGATTATAAAGAAGCCAGTTATGTTGATTTTTGGTGTATATAGCAGATAAATATATTCTTGAAAGGATTGGCTCATACATAAAAGTTAGAAACAGTGTATTCAAAATGTTGAATAACTTCTGACCGATGATGGGAATTTCATTTGATTCCAGCATGTCAATAGTATTGCTATGATGTTGTTTGGCATAGGCTTTGTTAAATTATTTCCCAGAAAAACCTGCCTTATAACCTAAATACACTCCTGTGGCTGTTGCTGGAAATAAGCTTTGTGTTGGTTTCCAAATTGGAGGGAAATCCATATAAATTCAACAAAACAACGGATCGTGAAAGTAATTTATTCTTCTTAATTAAAGAGTAGACAATTGTTTCTTTATTATTTTCCAAACCATTTCCTCAGATTCCATTTCTAAATATATTTATAATGTTTTTTTTTTAAAGAATGTGGATGAATTAACAAGTGTTGAATGTTTCATACACTTGCTTCCAAATGCCTAATATGTTGGGCTAAGAAGCAGAGTGATCAGAAAGTAGTCTATTGTCCTAGTGAGTTCGAAGGTGTGATAGGATTAAAAGCCACCAGCAATTCTCTCAAATAAAATTTTACAGCAATATTTGCATTCCTCTAGAATGATTAGACTGGACGAAGAATTTGGTTATTTCTAGAGTCTAATGCTTAGTGATGAACAAAATAAAAAAGATTTACCAGGCTAGTCCTAAGTCCTAACTGGAGCTTTATTTTGGACAATAATAATTTGGAGCATTAAGATTAATGGATATTCCATTTTTGTAAGGCTATTCGAAAGGAATTAATAAAAGTGCAGATGTTTTCCTTCAATCAAGTAAAATGCTGGGATGATTGACAGTCGGCCGATTATGATAAATTAATAAGAGTAATCTTACAGGGACTGGCAGGAGCAGATGTGGTCCTTTTCCCCAGTTCTTTTATTTTATTTTTATCATATTATGATAGTCAATGTGTCTGTCATTAATGGTAAGCTTTGTTTGTATCGTAAATCAAGTAAGTGATAGCATTATTGCAGTTTAAATTTCTTTAAAATCATATATCCTGTCTGGGTAGTGGTAACCTAATGTGTCATGATTATGTCTTCACTCGTTATGCTTGGAAGTTTTTGTAGTTTTCTTCTCTTCAGCTTGTGTTACTAGTTCAGTGGTTTGGAATTGTGAACACTTGCCCCCTTTTAATACTATAACGGTTATTATATTGTTCAGTTGCGGGAGCTTGAGAGAGGAGTTGATATTCTTGTGGCAACTCCAGGACGTCTGGTAGATTTGTTAGAGAGGGCTAGGGTGTCACTGCAAATGATCAGATATTTAGCTCTTGATGAAGCAGATCGGATGCTGGATATGGGTTTTGAGCCTCAAATAAGAAAAATAGTTGAACAAATGGACATGCCTCTTCAAGGCTTGAGACAAACAATGCTGTTTAGTGCCACTTTTCCCAAAGAGATACAGGTAGGTCGTGGCTTTTAATCAGGTTCTCAAGCTTCTCGTGTGTATTCTTGGAAAAAAAAAATTCACATTTCATTCGTGTATTTTGTGTTTGCTATCATATGTCATGGTTGTCTTGATGATGCTAGAATGAGAGGGAAGAGTTCTTGATAGCAGCTGTTCCAATTTCATTTCGCTGCTGGGTGCCTATTTTAAATTGTCAGATTGTTTTGCGCTGCTGTTGTACTTGCAAAATTTCTTACTGCTTCAATTAAGGTGCCCGATCAATTGCTTCACATGTAAAGGCCGAAGGCTACATAACATAATTATAACAAGGTTGGAAGTAAGGAAATTCGGATTTGTTTAAGAAATAGGAGCTGACTTTATATTTCATTACCTTTTCAGTTAGTCTCATGCACGTACTTTAAATGTTGATAACTTGTGGAAAGTCTGGTATTTATGTGGACAGATGCGGAGCTATTTCTTCATGTTTTAGAGTAGTTGATTTTAAATCATAAGTAATAATTTTGGATGAATGGCTTTGCTATTGTAATTTAAAGGTTTACCAGAGAAGATTATGTGATTGGTGCTTTTAGATATGGCAATAGTTATAATGGCGAGGGTGAAGTGATGGTGATGTAACTGTGGGAGACATACAAGACTTGAAAGATGATATACTACCATTGTGGCTGAGATAGTTGAGTTTGGCTATGAAATGTGTCATTTGTTGTTTATGCTGAGGGTAATATTGTATTGCAAGTTAAATATGAAGGTTGAATTAATAGATCTTGTACTATTTAGAACAGCGCTGTAATCAATGAGCAAGCTAGAATTAGCAAATATGACCTTCCTCTCGCAATGTTCATGTGTATGCAGAGACTTGCATCGGATTTCCTTGACAATTATGTGTTTCTGGCTGTTGGAAGGGTTGGTTCAAGTACTGACCTTATTGCTCAACGAGTGGAATATGTCCTTGAATCTGACAAAAGAAGCCATCTCATGGACCTTCTTCACGCCCAGAGAGAAAATGGAATTTATGGCAAGGTAATTTGACTACGCTGCAAACTGTCTCTCTATGCAAACTTAGCTATTTTTTGACATTGTGCTGCATTTTAAGTTCGAACTTCTTGTTTAAGAATATGCATGTGTGATTTACAGATTTATGATTTATCATATTCAGCTCTCTGCTAAACATCTTTGGGTGGAATTTGCAGCAAGGTCTTACATTAGTTTTTGTGGAAACAAAGAAAGGAGCTGATGCATTGGAACACTGGTTGTGCATTAATGGGTTTCCTGCAACTAGCATTCATGGTGACAGATCACAGCAGGTGACTATCTTTGGCTAAATAAAATCATGTCGGAGTTTTAAACGCGTCAATATCATGATTTTCATTCAAACAACATACCTATATCTATTTTTATGTTATAAACAGATATGCTGTTTTAATGGGCTAGAAGGGGAGTTGAATTGGATTTTCATTTTATCGTAGTCAGTTGATAAATTGAGAATTTTAAGGATCAAAATTGGGCTAGGGGTCTTGGATATGCCTTTCTTAATATCTCTTGTAATGCCCCAACTTTCATTTTTGTTTTTTATAAGAGATATTTCGATATTTTAAAATCCCGAAACAGTAAACTTCTGTATTTTTGACAATTTTTCAAAAATAAAAGAGTGTAATTGTGATATTTTTCTTTAAAAAATCTTAAAAAAAATACAAAACTTCACCGTTTTGAGACTTTTAAGATATCAAAATGTTTCCTATTTTATGTAGAAGCTAATGATTCAAAGAAAAACAAAAATGAGAAGTTGGAGCATTATAAGGGATATTAAAGAAAAGTCCATTAGAGGTCCTTAGCCCATGCTTACAATTCTCATCAACTATCATAATGCCTCGTGCAATTAGAACAGCTGGGTAGTTGCGTGCTCTGAATATTTCTTTTTCGGGCAACCATGGATTGTGGTCATTTTCCTGATATTTGGATCTGGTCTACTGGTGCAGCATTTAATTGATGCCCACACCTTTATTTGTTGAAGCTGAAGTAGGAATTTAACTAGTTCTTGTATATGTCTCTTCCATGGTTTTTTTTTTTTTTTTGGGTACAAATCACGCCATATGGGCATATACTTCATAATTGCTGCTATAAATGTGTGTTGTGTTATGTCTCTGTGCAGGAAAGGGAACTAGCATTGAGGTCGTTCAAGAGCGGAAACACGCCAATTTTAGTGGCAACGGATGTTGCAGCACGTGGTCTTGATATTCCACGTGTAGCTCATGTGGTAAATTTTGATCTTCCCAATGACATTGATGATTATGTGCATCGGATAGGAAGAACAGGGAGGGCTGGTAAAATGGGTTTAGCAACAGCTTTCTTCAATGACAATAATCTGTCATTGGCTAAGCCATTGGCTGATCTGATGCAAGAGGCAAATCAAGAAGTACCTGCGTGGCTCACACGTTATGCAGCTAGAGCTTCCTACGGTGGCGGCAACAGAAATCGGCGTTCTGGGGGGGCCCGTTTTGGTGGCCGTGATTATAGGAGGGATAGCCAACATAATAAAGGAGCCGACTACTATGGCGGAGCAAGTGGATACGGGGTTCCTGCCACTTTTGGTGGAGGGTATGGTCCTCCAGGTGTTACTAGTGCCTGGGATTAGTCGCCTTTTATCAATTCGTTCAAACTGCTGCTGATTGTATATAATTTCAGACTTCGTTTATGATAGTTCAATCTTAGCCCTTGGTCTAGCTAGATTCATGCATTCCCTAGTGCTGGAAATCTTGTGTCTAATATTAGAGGGCTACTGATTTCCTGTGAGATTGATGTACTGTCGTTCTGCTGTTGGATATTTTTTTAATGGATAGATTTTCCGGTTTAGCTGTCATAATTTTGTCTGATTATGGTCTGTATACTGTCTGGTTTATCGTGATACGAAAATCATGGTACGTTATATTGAAAGATCACGAGAATTGCAAGGCCTGCAAATCAAGTTTTCTAAAACTAATTCAACGTTGCATGTGTGGCTTCCATTTGTACATGAAAAGATTATTATGTAATTCGACGGACATTTATATTCAGATGCAACTGTGATCCAATGAATTATGAAAATAACTATTAAATTACATAAATAACTTTATAAAACTTATCAACACGATATAACATGTTACCTCCGGCTCTTATTATAATTCAACTATCAAGAAAAAGCAGTTGACTCAGAGATCTTAAATATATATATTTTTTTCAACTTTACTGCTATTTAAGATCATAAACAAACACTACATTTAGAATTCTAAGTCTCCTAGATGATATTAATACAGGACTATAACATGTCAATTCTTTTTAAAAGACATCTTATTACCTATATAAATGATTGAAGGCATTATATTTTTTTAAGTTAAAGTACAAGTTTGTCTTTAATATTTCCAACCAAATGCATCTCATATCTTAAAGTATTTTCTAATGCAATGTTGCCTCAACATTTTTCAAAATGGTATAGTATTTATCTATCATTTGGTTTGACTCGTTTGACTATTAATTTGATCGTTAATTCTAATTTTAGTAGCCATGTGGCATATTTTTTTAAAATTTAAAAAAAAGACCAACACCCAAGTGGCTTGCCACATTAGCCATCTCTCCTCTACCCCTTCCACTTCCCTCAAAAATAATTGGAAAAAAAAAATGGTTACATGGACTTCCATGTGACTACCATTGAGGTACAAAATGATCAAATTTTTAAAGTTGGCAGTCATGGTGGTTAAAGAGTGACAACGGGATGACATTGTACTAAAATAAAAAAAACATTAGGATTTTAAGACATGGGGCATGTCTGGCTCAATACTTTAAGGAAAGATTTGCACCTTAACCTTATTTTTTTAGTTGTATAGATTTTTTTTATTGAAAATAATTTTATGTGAAGCATGATCGGCATTAAATAGAAACACCTATCAATAATAATAAGGGTAACAACTAAGGAAAACAAGTATTCCTTCTGATTTTTATCGTAAAACACTTTCAATTGTTTCACACATGTTAAGAAAAAATAATATATACTTTCATTTTTATCCTTGACTTTAAATCATGATAAAACTATATTAAATATCTCTACGTTAATCAAGAAAGGATAAAATTTAAAAAAAGTGATTTAATTATTACAATATATTTCATATTTTGGATCAAAATTTACTCTTAAAAAGTGTCCTATAAATAAGACGAATATATACTTTCTTTATTAACAAATGTAAGACATTTTTAACAGAATCTTACCCTCCAATAAAGTAATTACATACTTTCAAACTAACCCTATCTTTTCATATTTATCTTTATTAAATACCTTGCAATAAATATAAAATTATTGTCAATAGGTATACTTTTGAAAAAATGATAATGATTACACCTTAAAAAATTAAAAATGCCTTATATTTTTTTTACATTCAAGTCATTAAAAAATACCTTATATTTTTTAATAGGGGGTAGAAGATTGTTAACTAAAAGCATGGAGTCAATAATTCTCTTAATCCTTTGAGTTGAAAGAAGTACCCATTGGCCCCATTTGGTACACATATATGAATTTTGAGAGATTGGGATTAGGGTTAAGACTTTAATATGTTTGGTATGAATTAATATTTAGAGGGAAAACTTTAATTAATTTTTTTAATTCATCAAAAATGAGCAAAATACCATAACGCCCATTATTATTAATTAAAAAAATAGCCATGAAGATGAACAGTGCACAGTTTAGAGGATGAGCTCTGAGCTCCAGATCTAGAGCTTCTCAACAGTGAATGCAGCAGAGCTGGAGAAGAAGGCGGCGAGTGAGAAGGAGGTGGAAGAGAAAGAAGGAGAAAGGAAGGCAAAGAAGATATGATCAAAAATCAACAAAATCTGAAACCGCATCTTCATCATCTTCATCGTAAATTTTGAAACCCAAATCTGCTTTCGTCTTCAACTTGAACCCAGATTTGCTGCTTGCTAGCTATTGCTTCTGTCCAAGTCATCATGGGTAAGGGTGGAAGTCACTGTTGATAATGGAGGAGGTCATCCATGGTGAACGTGCTCGAGCTGTGAAGGAGAAGGGAGTCCAAGATTTTTTCCTTTTTAGAAGGGTATTTTGGTAAGAAAAATTTCAATTCCAGGATTAATTTTAGTAGGATTGAACAATACTATGGGGGATAGTGGGTTTCAGTATTCCCATTTAAGTGGGACTGAGCAATCCCAAATATTGATGAATCACTCATACCAAACATGTAAAAGGTGATATTACTCTGACATAATTTCAATCCTTACCTTCTAGTGCTGCATACCAAACAAGCCCATAAGCTATAAATTAACAAGTGAGAGGACAAAGAGACAATTTCTAGGCATTTACTCCTTTGCAATTACAAAAAAAAAAAAAAAAAAGAAGGGACAACTATCATCAATGTAAAATTACATTTTTCAAGACCCGTCTATACATTACTCCTTTAAAAATTAGACGTACGCATGGTCTAAAAATCTTATCTATGACAGTGATAAAAAAGCGAGGAGTGCTACAAACAATGTGGTCTATAAATTTTCCAATACTTGCAATAGGTAAATTATTTACACTTTAACATTCCTATTCTTTCCTGCCGTTGTTTTCCAATGTTCTCGTGATCTTTTGCTGTATGATTTTCATGTTCACAGATCCCTTCAGTTGGGACTATATCGCTTGTAGCCAATTTCTTGACAAGGTAAAATTACTCCGATTATCTTTCTCTGCTGCAACAAATAATAATACAAAAAGTATCATAGTATTTGTTCTTTCTTAACCATGATAACATTCTCATCATTTGCTTCTTCGCAGAAACATGGTTTCAAACTTAGCACCTTATTACAGAGCCATCTCTCACTTCTTCCTCATCATAGGCATATGCGACATTTACTTCAACGGTATCTCTCTATATCCTTTAAGAGCTTATAATGTTCATATTTTTAATGCCAACTACCATTTCATTCCGTTTTCCGTTCCGCTATCCATTCCTTCAATTTTTTTTTTCATCATGCAAAACATGCCGCTAGCTTCATCGATTAAATATCATGGTCAAGGCAATTTGCCACTTCATAAGAGAATTTGTGACATTTGTCGACACTAGCTTCTTTTTCACACTATCATGTCGAATTGTCGATGGTCACAACAATCCTTCTCGGTAGGCTCAGGTGCTCATCTATCAGTATGCAATCTGAGGTATGGAGGACATGGCCGAGGTTCGGGCACCTGCTCCTGCAGGCAGCGTACGATAATTCTCCAAACAGGAGATATAACCCCAAACGAACCCACCATCGTCAACAGCTAGAAAGGAGCTTAAAATTAAGAGTTGTTGAATAATTGGCATAATTGCTATAAACTAGACATCAATCATTTCCTACAATTTGTGTGTCAACAAAATTTTGTAATAACCAAGTATGAAGAATTCTGATAGAAAACTTGCTGAAGGGAGCCGTAAAGTAGACCAGACCTATGATGTTATCAGTAGACATAGCAGACAAACGAGGCTGACGATTCATGAGGCATTCAAGCTTCAATTGTTTGAGTGATCTCCAAACGTGCTCATGAAACTCAATATGTTAGTCCCAGACAAGAAAGAATATTGCTAAATACACTAATTTTTTATTCACACTGCACAAATGGGCAATAACTGCATTAGTTCTTACGGCTCCACTTCACCTTTTATGTGTCAAATGGATCTTATAAAGTTCAGAATGGTGAATTTGAGTTAAGTCTTCTAAATTAAAAACGAGGGAGAATAAATAGCTTACTTTTACCTTCTCTCTCTCTCTCTCTCTCTCTCTCTCTCTCTCTCTTAATCTGATAAACTTCATCCATTTTCACCATTCTGAACTTCAGAGAACCTAGATTCGTCAAACTAGGGCAGAACCACATCTATAGGCAACTTAACCAAGTTGACTTGTCCCAATTTTTCAGGCTCAAATTTCACCAGAATGTCATTTAGATCATTATATGTAATCCTCAGACTATTACCCGTCTACACCCAACAGCCTTTAACAGAAATGGTGCAGACAGTAATAAAAATCAATATCTGCAAGCGATTTGAAAATGCAAGCAAATTATGTTCAAAGGTGGTACTGGTAACTGATGAGAAGAATTCGCTGCATACAAACTAATCAGCATCACTGTGGTCATCTGGAGAACTGATGACAATCCTAACAGGACAACAAATTTCGGCCGGGGTAATTTTGTTGAATTTCACATCTAATTATGTGTCAACCTAAAGCAGACAAACATTTCCCATGTCCGAGCACCGCTGTTTTTTTACAAGATCTTTATAATTCCTAGATGTTAACTTACCAGATCTTAGTGTCCCACTTACTCACATTATAGGAAACAAGGTGGAAAATCATTTAAAACTGCAAATTATGTTTTTTAATACGAAACTTATTTTCCAGATATCTAGCATCTCAACAAAGCATAATTAACAAATGTTGGAGAATATCCCCCTTAATAATCGAAGCATCTGTGGAACAAAAGCAGAATCAAAGCATGCAGTATTACAGTCCTTTAATTCTCCCTCCTATAAGATTAATAGCACATCCCACTATCCCTTTAGGGAAGTAAGAACATGAAAGAAGGAAAGAAAGTATAAAACAGCAATTGTTAAAGAATATGTCATGGTTGCACTGGCAAGACAAATCAAATAATATAACCAGTAGACTCATCCAAGCTTGGATATTTGATGAGAGAATAATCAAAAGTGTATTATATTGTAATAAAGCTACGCTAGGGGAGAGCAAATTATTTTCTTTCTTACTTGTAAGTGGCTGTAATGCTACTTCTGTCATATGAACACTACTCTCCATCAGATGCTCCATCTAGATCTGAATCTTCAACTTCATAGAATTCATCACCTGTTCCAGACCCTCCCTCCTCAGATTCTCCCAGCCCTATTTCATCCATTGTATCATTTAGTAATAAGTCTTCTTGATCCATAAAGTTTGCACCTTTACCACGATGAAGAAGCCCCGTCCTCATCACATGATAAAACTTCTCTCTAAGCCGAGCAATAGGATGCGGATCTACTAGTTTTCCACGCTGATACCCTTCTCTAAGAGTAACGGTCGTTGTTTTACATTTCAATGAGAGGTAAAATATGCCAGGATATCTTGTGAAGATTCGAGTAAACTTGTGGGGAAGATTCAACTCCTCCCTCAAGCTCCTCAAGTAGTTCCTCTTTGTTTTCTTGTGCATGGTTAAACTTAGGAATTCATGCAGAACTCCAACCACTCGTTTCTCCATCAATTCACTATTTGGATCAATTTGTCTAGAGTCCTCGTAAGGAGAAATGTAAGGCAATTTTTGGAATTCCTCCATCCATGCCCTTACTTTCTTCTGCGCTCCATACCCCCTTGGGAAATTCATGGGGAAAACCAGAGCTGCCTGCCCTCTCTTGAATTGCCTGTACTCATCCCCAGATGTACTGCTTTCATTGTTCTTCTGTAATGCTGAAACTGCAAATTCCTCACACCAATTTGCTAGTCGCAGGCAGGTGACTCCATTTGAGGCCTTCACAAATCGAAAATGATCTGGATATTTTGGAACCAGTGTTTTCTCAAAACAATCCGGTAAACCCAGATCCCATTTCAAAGGATGAAGGGACTGCAGCGGCACAGTTCGAGTCTTCATCATCATAAGTACCTTACAAAGCCGTTCGACAATATCACTCTCACGGACCTCGTAAATGCTTTGTTCTTGCGAGTCCAACAGTATTGAAGTATCTGTCAAACGGAAGCAAGGCAAACTAGGCCAACGAGGATGTGGAAATTCATCAAAGAGAGTGGGGTACCTACGCATGAAACGAAGAACCGGGACTGTAAGGCCAAGCATTTTTTGCCAGTCAGCTACAGATTTTGCTGTGAGAAAACCAGTGGACGAGCGCTTAATCGCGTCCTTTAGGAGACAAGCAGCCTTCAAATCCGTTTCCTTGTCAATTATGTGATCAATACTTCGGTTTTTCACCCACTTGAGCCGGACCTTCACTATGCCTCGGCACTGGAGGTATTGATGGCACTGGCAGAGTTTGAGAGTCTCGTATAGAGCGTAATGTTTCAACTTTAGCAAAGAAATATCTCTTATATAATTCATCTTTACGGGGAAAAATAATAATTAGCAATACCCAGACAGAGATTTGGAAGTTCCGAATCAGACGCAGACTGCAAAAGCTAACTTGATGATAATTGAAATAAAAGTGAATGGCTTTGGATAGGGCAAAAAACACAGGATTGCGAAGTAATAAAGTTCGCAAAATGTCCCATATCACAGAGGAATTAATCCAGTATTATGAGAATGGCCTTCCAACAAAAGTTATCTAATTAAGTGTCATGGCGATACTAAACACTTCTACAGAACCGAGAAGGACATCACCAGTTAGGTGTATAAGAGTCACAATCTGGGAGAATCACTATCTTGTTCCTTCCGAATAATGATCAATAGATTAAGCTTGCCAATGTCCTTCCTCAACACCACCCAAATAAAGAAAGACTTTTTCAGAAATGCCTAATTTCCAAAGTCGCGAAGTTGGGAGAAATACTCTGCCCTGAATTTTGGAGAAACTGGTAATCTGGAGAGTGCGCTGATATACAAACCAAAATTCCCACGCTATGCGGTAGCGTGAAGTGTCCCAATAAATAATCATAGAACATCGCCTTCCGAGAGCACGGAAATGATTGTCAGCGCACAGAACTAGCAATTCGGTCTCGTATAGTCAGGGTCGGGTCGGGTTGGGTTTCGCCCAAACCTAATTCAACTTGACCTGCGTTTGAGTTGATAGTTGAATTAGGGGTGCACATGGGCAGGGCTAGGCTGGGCAGAAGTTTGCCTGATGTCCAGCCCAAAGAATGTATGAGCTGCAAAATACAGCCCGAAGCCCAGCCCTGCCCACAAAATGCCCCATTAGTTTAGGTTGGGCTGGGCTGGGCTGACTGGGCAGCTTTGCCCAGCCCATCAAATAATTACCCTACCCATTAAATCACAATTCTTTTTATCATTTTGAAATAAAACTTTTACAAATCAACAATAATCTTATGCATCAACTCAAAATAGCATCCATAAAATCAAAAACCATAAATCCACAATAATAATGACGCCACAATATTTAATTATCCATAATTCAACACTCTACTTAAAAACAAGTCTTGGCACAATATCAACTTATCTATAATTGAATCCAAAATAACAGCTATGATCATTGAAAACAATAAATTTCACAAAAGCTTGAAGTATCATATGAGAAACAGCAATTTGAAAAAGTAGACTCTAATTCACAAAAGACTTCTTCCCAACTCCCAACCTGCATGAATGGAAGAGAAAAAATATGTCATAACTAAACAGATTAAAATCCTTATTCAAGACAAATGCATAGTAAATCTTGAATGGAGTAAAAGGAAACTCACATGCAAGCCAACATTTGCTTTGGAATGCATCAGATCTGCCCTCCTCTAGATAAAAAGGGTCAAAAGAAATGGAATTTATAATAGCCAAAGCATAACTTTAGTAAATAGCAAAGCAGAATAAAAGGGGCCAGCAGGGGGCATGCATGCATAAGGGACCTATGATTAGTGTCCACTTCATCCAACTTAACCAAATTTACATACTTGTTATTTAATTTTTCAAAGAGTTAATAAAGAGTTAAGATATACTTGTAAAGAAACACTTTAATTAACACTAGCAGCCGCATTCTCCCCTCCACGTGTTGCATCTAAAGACAAAAAAAATTACATTAATATAAAAACTAAAATAAAGGGTGTATGTGTGCATGTATAAACTTTAGAAAAAAAAATGTTACTTGTAAGCTGAATAATATTTTCTATCTCATTAAAGTTATCGAACTCATGGAGCTTATCAACCAACTCAGAGAGAGATTGCCCACTTTGCAGCCAATTTTGCCCACAAATCAATGCTTCTATCATTTTAGGAGATAAAGAGCTCCTATATTGATCAACTATATGTCTACCAGTACTAAATGCAGACTCAAAAGCCACTGTAGAAACTGGCATAGCCAATACATCTTGTGCCATGTGGGAGAGAATTTTATATTTTTTAGAATTTGCTTTCCACCATGATAGTATGTCAAACTCAGAATCAGATGATGAGATGTCAGCTCTAGAATCAGTTGCAAGATATCTATCTAGCTCACTTTGTGGATCCATTGAAGTTTTTTTCTTCAAAGACTCTAACCACACTGCCCCTGGATCCTCAATGTCGTCATCATCATCATCATCAAGAGAGGGCAATGAACTTGTAGGTGCATTACTAGCATGGGTAGGCCCTGATTTAGTAGAAATCCCAACAAAATACTTATCAAACAATCGATATAAACAAGTTTTGACCTTATCCATCATTAATGCACATTCTTCAGGGTTACTAAAAAGGAGTTCAAACATGTGATTTACATAAACTAATTTGTACCAAGGATCCAAAATCACAGCCACAATCAATAATAGATTCATATTATCTGCCTGACCCCAATACTTATCAAACTTCATATGCATCTTAAAGCTCATATCTGCCAAAAAAGTATTACTACTGTTTCCAATATGCTTTTGCAACATCTGCTGAACACGAGCAATTTGATGGAAACAATCATTTGATGTTACAATAAGGGAGCTTGAAAATTTTAAAGTTATGTCATAAAAAACCTTTAAGAATTTGATGAAGACTTTAGCATTTTTTCAATCACCAATAATAGGGCCAGAGAAAACACCTCCCTCTTGCTTAGAGTTAAATAATGCAATATAGTCATCATCTTCATAATGCATCCGCTCAAACACCTTTTGAAACTTCACTGCAGCTTCTAACATCAAATATGTTGAATTCCATCGAGTACTAACATCAAGGCAAACAAGGCTCTTAGTTTCTATTTTTTCAGATTCAACCTAATTTTTAAACTTTAGAAACCGTGAAAGAGAAGACTGAACATATCTCACAGCACTTCGAATGGCTTCAAAACTATCTTTCATGTGTTTGATGCCTTCATTGACCACCAAATTAAGAACATGTGCACAACATCTTAATTGTAGATAGTCTCCTCCACAAATTAAGCCCTTCCAACTTCTCAACCTCCTTTTAAGGTATCCCAAAGCCGTGTTATTAGATGAAGTATTATCCATAGTTATGCTAAACACCTTATCAATACCCCAATCCAACAAGTATTGCTCAATGGTCTTCCCTATAGTCTCACCTTTATGATTTTCAATCATAACAAAACTTAGGATCCTTTTGTGAAGCTTCCATTCATTGTCAATAAAATGTGCCGTCAAACACAAGTAATTAAAATTTTGGTTTGACGTCCAGCAATCTGTTGTGAGATAAATACGCTTAGAACATTGTTTCAAGATTTTCTTTAGCACTTTTACTTCACTAAGATATAGCTGCCACACATCCCTTGCAATTGTTGTTCTTAAAGGGATTGGAAAGCGAGGTTCAAACTCATTCAAAAATTTCTTAAATGCAGGCTTTTCAACAATTCTGAATGACTGCTCATCACAAATAATAAATTTAGCAAGAGCTCTTCTACACCTCTTCTCATTATATAAGTGAGTGACTATAGATTTTCCTTGCCCACTTGTCCCACCAGATAACAAATTTATCATTGCTTGTTTCTTATCTTTGGTGGCCTTGTGAGGGTTCTTTGGACACTTTGCATGCTGCTCTATGCTCCTCATTAGTTTATTCTATAGGCAACCTAATAAAGTAATCCCACATCTCTGGTGTATACTTGGGTTCCTTTGCTTTCCTTTTTCGACCCCTTCTCTCAACATCTGTCACTTGTGTGACATGTTCTGTGGGTGTTTGGGTGGGAGGAGCACAAGGGGGAAGAGAAGGAGGTGTAATAGGAGGGACAGATTGATGGGGAGGGGCAGGGTTGCTGTTTGTGTGGGGGGAGTATGGGTTGGCGTTTGTGTAGGTCCAGTAGAGGTTGGTGAATGGAAGGTCCAGTAGGGGTTGATGTTTGAGATGTTTCAAAGGGTGATGCAACCGAAGCTTGATCCTCCATACTAGCATAAAAAAGTACAGGACCATAAATTGTTAGTTAAGAAGAATCTAATCCAAGTCCAACAATAATTCACACATATATAACTCCAAAACGTAACTTAAGTCCAACAATAATTCACACACACATATATCCATTTAGAAGTGCAAATCCAAGTCCAACAATAAATTCACACACACATAAATGTAATCCAAGTCCAAAATGTAATCTAATTCCATTAATTCAATTCTTTCTCTTGACTTCCTGGGCAAAATTTGGCATAAGAAAAATCAAGAGAAAATCTAACTCTGGGCAAAAGAGAGCTTCAAAATGCATGTAGCATAGAATGTGATATGTACTAATGTAACCAAAAATAGAAGAAATTGAGAATAACGCCTTACAAAATGTGATATAATTGTACTGAGGTATATATGCAACCAACCTAATCATAGTTAAAGAAAGCTTCAGATGGCCGTAGCAATGCCAAACCACATGTTCAAAAATCAGCCCAATGAAAGCAGACAAGGTTTTAAACTGAACATCTAAGCTAGTGTTTCTTAGCAGAAATACATTAGATCAATTTTGAGCACAAAAATTTCACAACATAAACCAGAAACCTCCTCAAGGGAAAGAATCTAAAAACAGGGCTACTCAAATCAAATATTTCTGCAATACAAAGAACTATGACAAGATTATGGAAAAAATTGAGAGAAAATCTTACCTTGGGCAGACAAGACTGTGAAGCTGGGCAAACGAGACCTTCTGTGTGATGAGAGCAATAGACCATGAACTTAGACAGATGAGAGCTTCTGTACGACTTCGAGAGACCAGAGAAGGAAGTTAGGAACGGCAGTATACTGTGTAGCTGTGGAGACCGAAGACTGGAGACAAGTAGAGCGAGAGATGCTGAGGTCAGTCAAGGACTCAAGCTCCTTCACACAGTGGCACGCCGCACTGCCACTCGCACTCTCACACGGGAGAGAAGGTGAAGATTAAGCATCAATTTACAGATGGCAGGGAAGGGGATCATTGCACTCGCATGCCATTGATGGGATTTGGGAGATGATCCGACTTCGTTCAAGCTCAAGAGCTCAGACGGCAGAGGAGATTAGAGAGGAAAGAAGATTAGAAGAGCTCAATCGAGGTTGCCTGTTGCTCACTCGCTCTCGCCTATCGCTTACTCGCTGTCGCCCCTGTGAGTCTCAAGTCTCAACAGGCTGTGACTCTCAACCTCACCGTCTCAGAGACTCAGACGAAGCTAAGGAAATCCAAAACCAAAAATGGCAGATTGGCTTGGCTGGCGTGACATGACAACAAAAAAATTCCAACCCTAATCTTTTCCCTCCCTCTTTTTATCTAACCGTGAGTTCGGACCAATTTTGCAATTCCCTCCCACTCTCCATAATTTTGAACTTTAAACTAAAAATAATAATAATTAAAAAAATAGGGCCAGGCTAAACGGGCAGGGCTGCATGACTTGCCCGCTGCCCGGCCCTGCTCGCACATTGCCCAGCCCAAATATGAATAAAATATTTTGGGCCGAGCTGGGCAAAAAATAATCGGGTTTGGGCGGGCATACCGGGTAACCGAGCATCATGAACACCCCTAGGTTGAATGAAAAGAAACGGTCATTAATAAATGAAACAGAATGGAGCGGAGCAAAATAAAATAAAATTTTTTATTATTTAAAAGTTTTATAATAAAAAAATTATTTTACATGATTATTGTTTAAGAGTATTTATAAAATGAACAGAATGCAATAATTTAAAATTTTTTTCTTTTAATATTACTCATATAATTAAATTTAAAGAAAATAATAATGCTCATTAAATGATTATAATATTTATACAGCAAATAATAATAATAATAATAATAATAATAATAATAATTTATTATTATTATTATTATTATTATTATTAAAATTAATAGTTAAATAAGATATTCAAAAATTAAGAATAAAAAGACAAAGCAAGCAACAGAGCTATTTATGCAAACATTTCTATTACATAAAAGGAAAACACAATAGAGTCATAATGTTGAAAGGTGCAACAGATAAAGATGGCAAGAGCATGAGAGATATGGTAGGAGGTATGGCTATGTACTATGCCTAAATGCTTGATTGGCTCAATCTTACCCGAAGCATTTGAGTACATGGGGCCGTGCATCAACAAGGGTCAAACCTTACATTGTCCAAACATGTGCAAGTTTTTTTATTTTTTTTATGAATGTGACATTATTATTTTTATTGAAAGTTATCATGAATTATATTATTTTTATGATAGTTTAAATTTTTTTATTTTTACAATTTTTTAAATCTCTTTCAAAATTTAATTTTTTTAAACTTATTATTATGAAAGAATAATTGGCAATTGTTGTTTATTTGAACTTTTAAAAAATTACTTTTGATTCTAATATTAGTTTTATAAAGGATATATTTTAAATAATAATAATAAAAATAATTTTTAAGGAAAAATTTTTTTTATATATTTTTTAAAAAATACTTGTACGAATATTTTTAGGTCAATAGAGCTAACTTGGTGCCTAAGTGCACATCGGGTTGGGGTGATATCTAACCCGACACTGCCCATGTGCAATCCTAATAGAAGGTAAGAAAAATAGTTAAAAAATAAAAATAATAGATGAGATTTTTTTATTAAGATAGAAGATTGAGGGTAATTTTATAAATAAAATGATTATATTGTGTCACTCCATCCTTAATTGTTGCGGTGCAAAAGATATTAAGCTATGGATGGCAAAAGAGGACTTCAGAGGTCCTTCCTTACCATTCCATTCTTTTTTTTAAATTTTTTTTTACAAACAATGCTTTATATCTTTTAACTATCTCACTCTATTGCATTCCTTCTTAAAAAAATCTCTAACACAGTGTTAAGCTCTTTTTAATATATATATATTCTATCATTCTAGTTATTTATAACTTTATCTACTTTACCACATTGAAAATTAACTCATATATTTAAATTTAATTTTTTAAAAATACACTTTAATTAAATATTATTTCTTTTTATTTTTTAATTAATTAATAATTTTTAGACCAAATATATTAATCATTGTCTAAATTTTATAAATGGCCTTATCTGGCACCCAACTCTTATCGTTTTTGTCTTATAAAATGATACTGTATATATTAAAAACTCTGTGTGTAATCTTGTCTTCTCATTTTTTTTCCCTCGAAAACTTCTCCCACACATTTGGTTAAATTAAATTAAATTAAATATTGTATTTTCATTTATTCCATTTCATTTTACAAAAAATAACTTTTATTTTTGGGTTTTTTCATCCCTCCTCCCCCCCCCCCCCCCAATCTCGACTGCAGCAAAGAAAGGAATGGAAAAAATAGCTGCGCCGGCGGAAGATGATTTCACTTGGAGCAGAGAAACGGTGCCCCGAGTTTTCCTACTTGTTTCCTCCAGATCATCTCAAAGAGACCTTATTTCCCTCTTGCTCGTCAGCCCATGGATTTATCGGATTCTTACCTCGGCCTCGTCACTTTGGCAGGTGCTTCTCATCTTCTCTGTATTCTGTTTCATTCTTTTGATGAATCTTTCAAGGATATGGTTATACGGATGATTGTGTATTCACCACACCATTCATTGGATAGGTACTCAATTTTCGCGAGAGGAAAATTGCCGGGAATCGGCTTATAGCTGCTCTTTCTCTGGTTAGCTTATTCTTTTTAAGTCTGACTGCTTTCCTGATACGATGCATTTCATTCAATTACATATAGTGCATTTATCTTGATCTTGACTCTACGGACGGGAAAGCAGGAACCATAATAAAAGCGAATTTTTAAGACCAATGGATTATGTCTTTCTAGTTTTTGATGTGCAAGTACCACACGGAGATTTGAATTTTTGGTGTTATAGGTGCTTTTGTTTAATTTCTCTTAAATTTTTTGCTGATAGTTATTTTATGTTCAACTTGACATTTTTTTTGTAGCCTAGATATCGCAATGTTAAGCAGATTAACCTGGAATTCGCTCAAGATATTGATGACACACATCTCATCCTTCTTAAGACTAAGGTAGCATATTTTATAATTTGCTATGAATTATTCGTCTATCTTTCTATTTGCAAAAAAACTGAGGCACGAGATCCATCATTAAGACAAATGAACTTTGTGTTCTTTCCCTGAAGATGGCAGATGTCCATCATGTTAAAAATGCTGAATCACACTCTACCTCATCTCCAATATCACTTAAAAATATATTGATTGAGTGATCCTAATTAATGTTGTTTTCACCCCAAGTGTTCAGATTCTCTTAAAGGCTTGGATTCCTTAAATCTGAACGGCTGCCAAAAAATCTCAGATGAAGGAGTTGAAGCTATAACCAGTTGTTGTCCGCAACTGAAATCTTTTTCCATCTACTGGAATGTGAGGTGCTTGAAGTTCTTCTAAATCTGTGAAGTTAACATTAGTAGCTGAAAATCTTATTTTCACTGTCTGACTTCCCATCACGTTTTAATAACAACGACAAAAAAAAAAAAAAAACCAAACATGTTCCAGGTTAACAGATGCGGGACTAAGGCATCTAGTGAAAAATTGCAAAGGCATAATTTATCTGAACATAAGTGGCTGCAAGGTATGTGAGCCACTAACACAATCCAAGCTATATTTGACAGTATGGTGATGCTTTGGATTTGAATTACTTGTGCATCTTAGACAAATAATAGGAAGACATTATTTTTTGTCTGCATCTGTTCGCATAAACATATTGGATTGTGCATGCAATATGTGTGTACTGTGTTTATGCACCCCTTCTTTGTAGCTATGGAAATTTCTGGTCAAAATGATGTTCAGGAGTGCAAAAGCATGCCCAAGCAAGAATTGGTATAAGTACCACATTTCTGTTGTGAACTGTTTGAATAATAACTTGATTTTAAGTCTTCACATGTGCTTTTTAAGTGGTAAAATGGTTATTACAAGCTTTAAAGCATTTTGTGATCAATCTCTCTTCTTTTCCATTGGCGAATTTTATGGGTGTAAAATGATAACTAACTTTTGCTAGAAAGGAAGGCCGAGGAAAGCAAGGAAGAATCCCTTTAGAGAGAATTCGAGAGTGTGTATGTTTGATACACTCCATGAATAACCATACAAATAGAAAACAAGATTCAGCTTGCACAGTAGACTTCCCTTCATTTTGTAACAAAGTACCTTTGATTTAGTTTGTCCTTTGGGTGTCTTTCTAACCCCTGCCATTCTGAATTAAGTACAACTTCAATATCTCAAATATGATTTCTGAGTAGTGATTCTGCTTTTAGCCTTTTTCTTGTGACTAGATATTGAATGGTAATCATTTGGTTCTTTTGTTAACACTCGCGTTAACTCAAAATTCAGCTAATAAAATTTAACGACTGTCTCTGAACATATCTTAAGGGCTCTACAATTTTATAATGGCAGAATATTTCAGACCAAAGCTTGGAATTTGTAGCTGAGAATTATTCAGAATTAGAGTCATTGAACCTGACAAGGTATTTGAGGTGGTTTATAACAGATTATCATTTTATGAGATCTACTTTAGTATGGGATTATTTTGTATGTCTTGATGTGTGAATAACACCAGCCTTTACTAGAATTTCACTTTCAGCTTTAACAAGCTGCAAAACTTGTACTGGCTGCTGGCATGTGTCTTTCTGATATCCATGAGTCATTATAAATAGTGAATTAGAGTCTTCTATTTCTGTTTCAATTCTAGGCTCTTGAATTGTTTTTGAAATTCACATTCCATGCTTCTATCTGGTAAGATAATGTCATTGAACATGGGATGGATTCTATTTTTCTTTTGATACTCATACCCTTTGGCGCTTAGGTGCATCAAGCTTACAGATTCTGGCTTAAAGCAGTTACTAGAGAAATGTTTGTCTCTTCAGAGTCTAAATCTCTATGCTCTGTCTAGGTAGCCACTGAAACATATTCATTTTAGTTGAAAACCTTTTCTCTTGATCAAATCAATTCATTGTTCTTGTTCAGTTTCACAGATGAAGTTTACAAGGAGATTTCCCTCCTGGTGCATCTCAAGCTTTTGGATCTCTGTGGCGCCCAGGTAATATATGTTTCTGGGCTCTGGAGATCCCTCTGCACCTTATCTGATGCTAACTGCTAATGCTAACAATTTATGGTTTGGTTTATAGAACCTTTCAGATGAAGGTCTTTCCAGCATTTCTAAATGCAAGAATCTTATAACCCTAAATCTAACATGGTAACTAAAGTTTTAACCGTTACACACATATACACTAACTAACTAAACGAGTTCATTGGGGTCATCTGCATCTTGTTTCATGTGATAGGTGTGTACGTGTGACTGATGAGGGGGTCATATCCATTGCAAGGAGCTGCACCTCTATTGAATCTCTAAGGTGTGTGGCGTGTACCTTTAGAGATTGCTTGATGATGCTTGAATGCGTCTTTTTTGAGTACCTGAATGTGTCTTTGCAAGTCATATAGATTTTGATAGATTTCCTTTGACTCGTATGGCGCATGAAGTAGCCTAATAGGCGATAATGATTCATGAACACACCTTTTCATACATATTCCTGCTCCAATGGCAACATGAAGTGACCTGTTTTAATAATTCCATCCAAAATGGCTCCTTTTTCTGATTCTTTTCGGTCAATCCTTTTTTCTGATATTTTGGAAGGACAAATATGCAGTTTGTTTGGAATAACTGGTGTGACCGACAAGTCTCTAGAGGCACTTTCAAAATCCGGTTACAACAAGATCACAACCCTTGATGTGAACGGATGTATTGGCATTAAGGCAATATTCCAACCTGAATTATCAGTGTATTATGACAATTCAGTTTACAGGCATTAATTGCACTAGTTCTTCTGATAACTTGCTATCTCCTTCTGTAGAACCGGAGCCGCGAAAAGCTGCTTCAGTTGTTCCCAAATCTAAAATGCTTTAAAGTGCACAGCTAATGTGGTGCTTTCCGGAAGTTTCTTGATGAAATCTGTCTCGAGACAAGTTATATAGGCTAGCGATACTCCCAAGCATTGTTTTCTTCGAACATTCCTGTCTACACAACTTGGAGGATGATTAATCATGTTGTATCAATTTTATAGTGAAGTCACAACAGTCCGTTTCTATTGTCAAACTTTAACACAATTGTTTTTTTTTTTTTATTTGTTGCTGCCTAAAGTATCTTCACGACCGACAACCATGAGATTAATCTCCCAAAGAATCTGAATATCATTTAAGGAGTCGTCTTCTCCCAAGTGATTTTTTTTTTTATACACCTCCAGGAATTAAACATGGAATGATATTTAAAGTGTTCAAACCATTACCATTTGTGTCACATTCGTTTGATTAACAAAATTGTTTTGTTTGCACACAACCACTAAAACCCATGAAATAAGTACAATCTTGGGCTTTTTTTTCGGCGAACCAATGATTTGAGGATGTAAAATGAGAATATACTTTCTGAAAGTTAATGATGCAATTTTCTTGTTTTTCGAATCCCATACATCAATATATATAGAGCAAATCGTAATTAGTGGTATAGGCCATTAGTAAATTACAAATGCAACAATCATCTCTCATTGTAATGGCATCTCATGGTTGAGTACTTTAGTATAATCTAAATCCTTTTCCTGTCAGTTAGCTTAGCCAGTCCATTACTTCTTTTGGTCCTTATATGTCATTTTTAATTAACTAATCAAAACGAAGGTTGGTTTGTTAAAATAATAAAATTATCTTAAAAATAAATCACTTTTCAATTCTATCCTTCTATTTAAAAATGAGTGGTTTGATATGTACGAAAAGTTTTCTTGAAAATTAAAATATTAAACTTTTTTTTAAGAATTTGTTAGAGGTTATTTTTGAAATTGTACGTTAAGGGCTACAAAAACAAAGGGAGAAAAACTTACATAAAGGACTAATTTTTTTTTTTAAATGTGACTTGTAAAAATGATTGAAAGTACTTTCAATAAAACAATGGCAGTCAGTGATCATGAACTCCGCTGTGTCTCAATTAAAAGAAACATAATTATTTATCATCTTGAATAATCTTCATTGGACAGTGTGAAGGTAATATTTTCACTACTTTGCACAAGTTTGTTTTTTTTTTTTAAAAAAAAAGAAAACCTTACTTTTAGGTGTATCGAGGAATACAAAATAATTGGTTTTTTTTTCAAATAAGGGGTAAACTCTGTACAGCAGAGAATCTTTTTTTTTTTTTTTGGGATTAAAAGGATGATTCATTCATAACCAGAACTAAATACCTTTATATGATCATTTCTCTCCCCTTCCTCCTCTTCTTGAATACAAGAGGAAGGATGGTTAAAGAAATGTTCCTCTCAGGTGCAGATAATCTTTTTTGGAACATGAGAGTAACAAGTAAATTTCTCCCAACTAAATAATATATCTACATGCTTTATTGTAAAAAAAAATTTCAGGATCTATTAATTATCTTGAATGAATAGTAAATGTTGTTTGACTTATGGTTAGAATTACTCCCCCCATTACAAATATGAAATATCATCAACTAAATCTCACTTTTAATAAAATAATTATTTATTTTTAAATTAATATCATGTTTTTATATTTACTCTTATTTAATAAAATATTTCAGTTTAATATATATATATATATATAATGATATATTTATTATGAGTACTTTTAAAAAATGCACATTAATTATACCTTAAAAGTTAAATCACTAAAACTGTCTTATATTTTTTAACATGCAACTCTAGAAAAAAAAAACACCTTACATTTTTAAATGGAGGAAATATCTTTTTAAAATGTATTTTAAATCTTTCTTTAAATTAATTAGTAGTCTTAGTATTAAGGATTTTAAAGATAAAATTTTATAAATATGACCAGAACAAATATACTATTTCTTGACTTTTTTGCTAACTTTTTTTTTTTTTTTGATAGTGCACGTCCATAATAAAATTTACCTCCCTCGACATACTGAAGGCAAAAAATAAACTTTCCCCAACTTTGCAAACACAAGTTGAAATTCAAACCTTTATCCACTTGTTAATTATTTCTTTTTATAACTGCATGATATCAGATATTACTCAATTACATTTTCAACAGTCACAATATAAAATGAAGAATTTAAATGATTAATTTTTTTAATTGAGTTTGCATGCGAGACTGAGTTATATTATTATCAATCTATAAATAATTCACCCTTTCATAAATTTTATATAACTATTTACATTCCTTGCATCCCAGTCTCGGAACCCATCAACTTAAATCTGAAGTTCCTTTTCTTTGGCAACTGAAATTCCTTTTATTGAAGTCAAAATTTAACAGAGCCAACGCTTAATATCGGCCAAATGAAATAATGCCCCGAGAGGATTACAAGTTGACGCATCATGCCATTGACGAAAACTCGCCCTCCTCCATTGTACTTTTATTCTTTTAATCCACTAAAGCTAAAAACTATTGGGAGATATGTTCAACTTAATTTGGCAGCGGTTACGTATTCTCCATTTTGGACTGATGCAACTTGAAATCAGATGTCTTGAAGCTTTTTTGGATTAACTTTTACAGAATTGCATTTCACATAAACCAATTAAAAGCTTGTAATGTAATTTATATTTAGATAATCTTATATAAAAAATCAATTTGACAAACTGAAACTTATTTTGAACGATGTAATTAAAAAACATGCTTAAATATATAATAACTAAAAAGAAAATGAGCTGATAAAAAACCTAAAAAAGACGTAAGTTGCATCTCTCTCTCTCTCGCACGCACATAAGCATGCAATTTGATAAATTTAAGAAAAATATTATAATTATAATTATAATTATAAAAATAATAGCTACTGTATTAAAGTAGAAATATTTTTAAATACTAAAAAACTTAATTAGATCTATTTAAGTAATATACACACACACACACACACACATATTACAAATAATAAAAATGTTAAATTTATCATTAATAAAAATATCGAATTTCAAAACGAAATGTGAAAGGATAAATAGATTATTCAATAAATTTAAAACGCATTAAATGCTACTGACAGTTATATTTCAACATAACTAATATAAGTTTCAAAATCTAGTTTTTGGCGTAATAGTTAAGAAAGAAAAGCCCATTTAACAACTACTCTTATACAAATATACATATTTTTCCCCCTAACTAGTTTCTAAGTCTACAAACTATAGTTTAAGTTAAATAAATAGAATCCCAAACAAGTACATAGTGCTTGATGGTTTCATAATTGTCTGTTGGATCCCTAAATAGAATCAACCTTCTCAGAAAAGGCATGGCAAATTCTCAGATAATTTCAAAGCTTCCGCAAAAGAACTTGTTCTACATCGTCAGCCATTTTATTTCAGGCACCACTTGTTTTCGAAAATATTCTAAGTAATAAATGCTGAGTCCATTTAACTATTTCAAGGACTTCGATTAATTACTAGGGCAAAGTAAGCCAGCGGGCATTTGAAGATAACTTTAACCGCGGAGAAAGATTGGGGATGAAAGAAGATGCAATTTTTTTTTTTTGACCAAAAAAGAAGATGCAATTTAATAAGGCATAATTATGCTTTCTTTTTTCTATGAGACGGGTGGCATAATACAATGCAGATCATTGAAAGGATTCCACACGATAATACCTGGGAAAGACAAAGGCGTGATCTACCATCCTTACAATAACTTATCAACCAAACGCTTCTTCCAGCATTTTTCTTTGCGTGTCTTTGGAAAAGACCTGCAAATTAAAAATCATTCCCATCAAACTAAACCACAAGCTTGTGCTTTGCGCCAAGTTTTAAATGAACCACATTATTCATCACTTGCAAACAGTGCTACCTGTAGATTTTATATTCTACAGATATATAGATAATTGGTTGGGGCATGTACAGGCTTGCGAACAGACTCAAATTCTACCCAATTTAGTTGGGTGAGGTGAGAAATTCAATAAAACGTCAGCTCTTTCACAGTAAAGAGTAAAGGAAGAGCCTACCTACCTTTTACATGTCAACGCCTAGATCTATTCTTGCAGCAACGAAACTCCGCTAACAGAGCTATATGATCTGAGGACCATTCGGGAGAAGGAAGTGCTGTGTCTTTCCTCAAACTCTCCTCGTCCAATAGCTCCAACAGTGACTCCACCACCAAAGAATCCGCTGAAACCACAAACCACATCGCTTCAAAAATTAAGCAGCCTGCACCTTAAAATTTAATAAACGATACAACACATCAGGATAGCAAACCTGTATAAAAGATGTAATCTAGAGTCCCAATAAAATCTCTAGTGACATTTGTGAACAAGGGTTCATTTGTCGCACTGTCCAGTCTCCTTTTGTGCTGCTCAAAGCCAAGACCTACTGTTCTTGCAAAAGAAGAGTATGCACTAACCTATAATTAAAAAGCAACTTGCATTAAAAAGCTAAAATCAACAACTAGAAAAGGAAAAATGCACAATAATATGAGAAAGTAGAAAAACTAAGCTATTTATTTCTTAAAAGGGTTGCATTTCAATGAATGTATTACCAGTGGCAGCTGATGAACCAGCTTGCTGTAGGGACGCAAGATACTGAGAGGATCAACAGCTAAATCAGGATGTAAGTTGTCTACCTTCCCCATTGCAAGAAGTGCATGAGGGGCACTGCAACATCAGCACCAACTTTAGACAAAAATTACTGATACCAATATATTAACAAATAAAATTTGATCAAACTAAAAAGAAGAAAACGCCACAAAACCTTCCAGGAACTGAATTAAAATCTCCACAAACCAGCATTGGAATGTCTGCACTTGCAGCTATTTTTTCTAACCCCTTTAAAAGAGTATGCACCTATAGGAAGGAAATGAAAAGGTATAACTCCTCAGCTCACAGTAGACACATTTAAAATGAATGAACAATAGAAAAATACTCACCTGCCAGAGTTTGACATCCTTCAGATCTTGGTGAACGTTTACATGTGTATTAGCCTGCAGTCCAAGAGCAAAATTAGTGCTTAACAATGAACAACGAAAATTGTGTTGCAACCTGAAAGGAAAAGGAGGAAAGAGGAAATGGCATAAATCTTTCACAGGACCATCCAATGCCAAAGAAAAATTTCATAAAAATTAAAGCTGAACATCCATTTGGTCATCGGAATTTAAATTTTTTGGAGCTAATCTGACAAAAGGCCAAGTGCCTCAACATCTGCAACAACAGCCATTCACAACCCTTCCAAAACAATTTGCATCCAAGAAGAACAATTCTAGAAAGACTACAGTACGGCAACTACAGTGATAGAGATAGGAGAACAACAACAACAAAGAAGGAAGATCAAACACAACTGAGAAATCCAATGAACACAGTGCATCAGAAAGACATGAAAACACAAGGCCATCTAAAGTCCACAGATATAACAGCAGTATAAAAGAGCTTACCACACAAAGAAGCTGCCTTTTCCCAGGATTATCAATTGGCTGGTTGGCAACTTTCGCTTCTAGAACCACTATTAGAGCAACATTATCCTAGGAACAAAAAGATAACAAGATAAACAAAAGTTTCATCAGAAATAAAAGTAACATCTAGTCTTTCAATCAATATGTTGCCACCTGGACAAGCCGATTTAAAGCAGTTTTCTTCTGTGTGGTTGGAATCATGGCATCTGTTAAAGACTGCGCAGCCTTATTAAATTCAACCTGCAAGCAAGTAGACATAATCTAAGTTTGTGAACAAACTTGAGAGAACTGCCATGCAGAAAAAAGTGCTTCTCAACCTCATATTTCTTCACATGCGAGAATTTGTCTCTGCGGAAAAATGTCGCACAGCCATCAATTATATGGCTGTTCCCACCATATACCTGAAAATCAACAATTTATATCAACGTTTAAAGGAAAATTCAGAACCATAAGCAAAAGGAAACAGAATTTCAGTTCGACCTCATTTGTTTTTCTCTTATATAAACCATAATATCCATGTTTGTCCAATTCGGGAGAAAAAAATTCTTCATAATGATCACTTTGGACCTGAAAGGAGAAAAAAAGTTGTCAATAAGACGATACAGAAATCATACAATAAGATGACCCTTTATGCCTAGCCCTCCCCCCTTCTTTGAATAATCATTTGAGTTGAAAATGCAACAAAAATAGCAATGAGCAACTACTTTAACTTGCATTATCATTTAATAAAAATTCTTCAGCAGAATCAACCTGAATGTCAGCCCAGGTTACCAAATTACTTTATCAATGGTCAAAACTGCAAACAAAAACATGTTGACGTACCTCCTGAAGGCAAATAATGTCTGCACGATACCCAACTATTTCTCTTAACAAATTTTGTCTACGGTATGGCCAAGAAAGAGCCCATGAAGGGCAGTAACTGTATAAATCATTTGACGCATATGCATCAGACAAAATGTTGTATGATAGGACAGTAAAAGATCCTGAAGATGTTATGCGTCCATCAGCATCTAAGGGTCCCATCCCATCAACAGGTATCAGGCGGCGTGGACTAGGCGATGGTGCAGGAATGACACGGGAGGTTAGTATAGTGTTGACATGTCCCACAGGAAGCTTTGTCTCTGCATCAACTACTGCACACTCAAATTTTAAGATATGACCAATGTCATCAACTGTTGGGGTATATGTTTTTGATCGTCCTACTTCAATCCAAGTTTCACCACCACTTCGTTGTGTAACAGCTGATGGATACAACTGTGCAGACCCATTTGTCAATGCAGCACTTGATGCAGAGCTAGACAAGCTATTATTGATTACCCCAGATCCAGAACTATTAAAGCGACCAAATACCTCCTCTTCCTCATTCCCATTTTCATTAACAGCACTTGCAGCACGATCATGAAGGACACGATGATGCTGCCATGCATCTGAAAAGCACTTTGGTGTGCAATGGTAGCTTTTAGAAACAGGTATTTTGGCTTTAACACAACCAAGGCACTGCAGTGTGGCCTGTTCAGATGGATGTACACTACAGACAGCAACCTTTTTATCACTTTGCACACGATACCTACCAGAAAGGACAGCCAAATGATATATCTGTTTATAAGTTACAGATTAAGTACTGAACCAACCGTCTAATCTAATACATGAAATAAAGGCATTGGAATGAAAATTCAAAATCTTAATACACATCAGAAACAAATTCATGTCTATTATTCCTTTCTGCTGACTAAAAACAGTTATAAAGTAGTGAGATCAATAGTATAGTAGGCAGTTACATCTTTGCCAGTACACCACAACTAAAGATCACAATACACAAAAAAGTATACATATATTGAGAGAGAGAGAGAGAGAGACCAAGTGTACTGCCACTAGCATACAAACCCAATTTAGTGTAATATTTAAGGATGACTTAACATAGAATAGATATTCTTTACCACGAGTTAAGCAAAGGAACAATAGAAATCAACAACTGGTTTAACATTTTAAAATTTCAGTTCCACTGGGCAGTAAATGCCAAACAAATTGCCTCTAGGTGGAGTAAACAAACTTAAAGTGCACCTTGCTTGCTTAAGAATCTCTCATTCCACACACAAATTCATGAATTCCACTCTAATTTCCACAACTATATAAGGTTAACTACAAGAACAAGCTCTTTTCCTCAACAAGGACACACTTTTCACTTAACAGCTTATAAACACAAGCAAACTTGTGTTGACAGACAGAAAACAGAATTAGTGCAGCTGAACTTATAATTTAGCAGTTGACTAAATTAGGCTCGACCAACGTAGATCACCCTGAATGCATAAGATGCATTATATCTCTTTTTATAGTTCTATCTTCAACAAAGTGAGTTTGCTTAGTATTACTGTTCTCAACAACAAAATCTTTTAGAGGACATCTATTCAGCAGAAGATATAGATAATTTGGATTTGTTTCCCTCTTTTTTATGAATATCTTTTACTGAAATGGAGAATCTACCCAGGATATATTACATTCACTATGGCGTTCAATTGTATATTAAAAAAAGTTCAACTTATTTTGAAATGAATAATTAAAATCTCGACGTCAAAGAAAATAATGGAAAAGAAGCCCCATAAATTTGCATTTTCAGCTTATGTGACAACACGTAAATGTCATATGATTACTTGATAAATTAAAATTATGAGTTCCGGCAACAATATAGGAATTTGTAAAGGTTGATCTACCAATGACAAGAATGGGAAAAAAAAATTTGGGGGGGGGATTGTTCATACATCACAGTCTGTCAATAAACATATAGCGTTTTCTGATCATCATCATAATGAGCAAGCATTAGAAGTATAGAATCTTCTAAAATAACTGCCGAAATAAAGAACAAAGTAGAAAGGAACAAATGATGAAAAGGAATGCACAGGTAGCCATTCAAATTGTATAATCGTGGAGACCACAATATTCCATTTACTTCAGTCAATTCGTAAGGTGTTATATGTAGCTTCATCCTCAGCTTGTATTTCCCTAAACATTATTTGCAATGAAAACAACATTCATGAATTGGAAAGATTTCCGGTAAATAGAAAGAATAAAGTAAATGAACTTATTTTGATTATTTCGGTGAATATGACTGAAATTAAACCAACAATAATAGTACAAAGATAAATGAATAAGAAAACTGCGTCTACTAGCAAACCATAAATAAACGAATGAACTACACGCATATGAAAAATACGAGAAGATAGATAGGTACTAAAGACAAATTCAAATAACAATTACACAACTCTAAAACATCCCCAAAGACCCAGTTTGCAAATTAACATTCCATGAAAAACCATCTTAAATCATTTAAAATAAATTAACACCAATTAGCTGGTCATAGTCATCAAAATTAAAAGTCAATCAAATCAACAACCAGGACATAAAAAAGGGAGAGACAAAAGCAGAAAAATCAAAGGCAGGGTGCAAAACAGCACTTACCACTTGTAACGTAGGAAATGGCCGTCTATTGGGGCTGACTCTGGCACATCGTCGGTGGTAACAGGCTTATCAGGTCGCCGTAGGAGCACGTACGGCGTAAGCTCACATCCAACAATGGGTATATCAGAGGGAAGGTGCACCCGTAGCACGCTCAGCATGCTTCACTCGTTACAATCGTCACAAAACTGCAATCCTAAGAACAACAACCGAACAAGACAACCTAGGACTCTGCTATCTCCTAAAAGACGACGCGCGCAGAGGCGGATACCAGGCGGATCCGCCATTTACTCAACCCGGATACCAGCCAGCCTTAATGGACTAGAAAGCAAGCCCGAGAAAATCACAGCACATTCGCAGCCTCCAGCGGATCTTGATAGAAGATAGATAAAAGCTATCGTCTGTGGAGCAATTGAAGTTAATTCAATCAATCAAATCAGAGAGTGAGGCAATCGAATTTTTCAGAGAAAGAATTTTCGGTTGGAGAGAGAAAAACAAGAAGGGATACGATTATTAGGGTTTTACAGAGGAAGTGGAAGTAATCGCTTAGGCTTCATTTTCTTTCCGAAGGCGAAGAGAGAGAGGGCTTTATAATAATAAACGACTTCTGTATTTTTTTGCATTGATCCTATTTTCTTTGTTTTTGCGAGGCCGTGTCTCCCTAATTACACTGCACAGCATTACATAATATCACGTTACTCAGTCTCTTTTTCCCCTGTAAAACTCCAATCCCTACGGAGTTTTTAATTATGTTTTCCTAATTTTTGCCATGTATTCTTAATTATTTTTAAAATAAAACATAAAGAAATGCGTCTAATAGTTTTCACAATTTTATCTTTAAAAAAATCACTTTCAAGTCCTACATAAACAATATAAATACAAAAAAAATTGTAAAATTACAAAACTATTCTAAAATCTCTTGTTCTTTGTTGAAATTATAAATTATTGTTATTAATTATTAATAGTTAATAATTATTGTTATTTAGTTGCCAACTATTAACATCTATATAACATTAATTGATCTTTTTACGTAACAAATCGACAACTTTTGTAAATAATATGAGATTTTAGAGTGATTTTGTAATTTTATTAGACGATGTATTTTAATTTTTTTTTATGTGAAACCTAAAAGCGATTTTCTCTTACCATAGTCCAAGGCTTGGTTCTTTAATCATTTTTCATTTTGCGTTTTATTTTTACTATAATTTACAATTACAATTCACGATGAATACATGTTAATTCATTTCATTAGTTTTTACGAAAACAACTCCTTTTGTAAATGCTTTAGATTTGATAAATCAGCGGCCATTTAAATGATAGATGCTATATTAACTCATTTTCTCTTGCTCTTGAATTTTTTATTGTAGCCCTTTCGCACATTTCACATATAATTTTAATGAAGACAAGAATAATATATATCAATGCACTTTGGAATTTATTTTTAAAATTATTTTTCTATATTTTTTTAGTTATTAAAATTATAGACGTTATCTTTCAATTTTTAGCTAAAAACAATATTAATTTTTAATTTTTAAATGAACAATGTGCATAGGCCATACTTTCTTTTTTCACAGGCTTATGAATAACTAAGGCTAAGAATGCAACGTTATACAAGAATTTAAGATAAGTCACATTATTTATGAATTATTAATTGATAATTGATAATTGATAACTGATAACATGGTTTTGATAAATTTTATTTTATATATATTTAATTTGATTGATATTGATGTGGAGTCGGTTAAAAATGTTGATAACTGATTAGGCGTATTGCAAGTTTGCAACAAAGAAATTTAGGTTGTGTTAGGATAAATGAATTTAAGTTAAAAATTTAAATTTAAAATCTCATATTTAAAATTTATATATCCTAAATTCTTTATTTGAATGATATAAAAAAATTTAAATTATAATATTAAAAATTTTATTTGAATCTCAAGTAAAATTTTAATTATATATTTAAATTTAAAAGCAATCAGACAACTTCAACAATTCAGACGACTGACTCCCACCAGGATTGGACAATTAGCGCTTGGTTTTGTCTTGATTGGTGTTGGCAGCCCAATCCCCATTGTCGCCAGTGTTACAATCCTAATGGAAGTTTGTCATTCAATCTCTGTCATAGGTGGCGGTCTAATCTTGGTTAGTACCGTTAGTCCAATTTTAATGAAAGTCAGTTGTCCAATTTTGATCGAACCTGGTCATTTGGCCCCTGTGGAAGGTTGCTATCCGATCCTAATCATCACCTATATCATGGCCCTGGTCGGCGATAGCAGTCTGGTCCTAGTGAAAATTAGCCTTCTTTTTTTTTAGTGGAAGGTAAGCACGAGGCTTAGTGAAAAGTACAACAAACTAAGTAATGTTTAAGCTATCCTCATGCAACATTGTGTGCAAATCAGGTGGTATTATATGTAGGAATTCAACTGTTGTATCGGTCTGATGGCTATGTTTTGCCAAATAATTAGCACATTGCAGCAAATTGGTAGGCAACCTCAATTCCACTACATAGTCTCGTAGTATCTTAATGGCATTCAGTGAGTCAGAGTATAAAATAATTCTGTTAAATCCAAATTGGTAGGCAACCTCAAGTCCAATTTTGATGGCCATCATTTCTGCAAACACGATCAGAATATCTCCTAATGCACATGTAAATCCACAGATCTATTCACCTTTATTGTTTCGAATCAAACCACCACATGAGGCATTCTTCCAAGGTGATATTGAAATGTCCACGTCAACTCTTCCAGCATTTTCCAGTGATGGCATCCAAGTATTTTCTGTTGCAGTGAGATTGGAAAAAGCAACATGTTTAAGATTCCCAGAAGCAACATGTTCGCGAATGTAAAAGAGGCAGCTATGAACTAGCTCTTAGGCGGTGAGTCTTAGTCATTCAAAAATGGCTTTACACCTATTTTTCCACAGTAGCCAGCATCCCAATCCAAATATTCTCATCTGAGGCCATTTAGAGAAGGTATTGCTAGCTGAATTGTGCTTGGAGTTCCAGTTAAACCAAACCTGCAAGTTACATTGAAAGAAAGTAGAGTAATGGTTAGTCGAAATCAAATGCTTTTAGAAATCCTAAGCAATTTAGCAATCACAAATAACATGTATGACACTCTCCTCACCATGACACTCAAAGGGGCATCCACCAGTGGGTGAAAGCCCAAGATTGGCTCTGAGTTAGTATTTAGTCTCTCATGAAGTGCTTGTCAAAGGAGGAAAAATTAATTCTTTTCAGGATCTACCATTTCCACAGAGTTTTTACCAAATGAGTTCTCACATAGGTTTATCGGTGGAAGTTGACCTTCTAGTTAGGGTCATTGTCTGCACTCTAACCCCGGTGGAAGTTGGCTGTTCGATCTAGGTAGTTGCTTGCACTCCAATCCCAGTCGAACCGGCTGTCTAATCCTAGTCATCGCTTACACTCCGATCTCGATCATCGTTGGTCACTCGATCCTTGTGGAAGTTGACTGTTCTATCACAGCAACAATGGCAATAGTCTAGTCCTAGTCATCGCTAGTAATCTGATGCCTTTCAGCATCTGTGATGGGCCGGTCAAATTATAAAAAAATTGAGGTAAAATTTAAAATAATAGAAATTTAGAAAGCATTTTAAATTATAAAAAAATTGAGGTGGGATTTGAATTTGAATTTACATCAAATCCAAATTTAAATCTATATACATTCAAATATAACATTAAGTTATTTACACAGTATCAGTATAAAATTAATTTTGAATTATATTGCAGATTACTTTTTTTTTTGGAACTTTTTGTGTAAAGCCACAGCATCTCAAAAGGATCTGCGGATTTTCCTCTCAACTAAACAATATTAATTGTTTGATATTACTAAAATTTAGTCATCAGTCCAATACTTGATCACCGTCAAATTCATTCACCACTTTTTACCAAAAAAAAAAAAAATCATTCACCCCTACAGCTATCGCAAATCGCAATCGTAACAAAAAAATTCCTCACATATAACTCAGTTATAATCTAGAAAGCGATCGCAGATCCTGATGCCAAGTCGGACTCATCACTAATTAGTAGTAGGATTGAACTGGAGTCTCTCATGGCCGAAATCAACGGAATGATATCACGAACCCGTGAACTTTTCCCGGGAGAAAATTTAGGAATAGAACGAGAAAACACCTACGGATTTGTGAATTAAAATATACAGCTGAGCTTATAACCCCCAAAAAAAAAAAAACAAAGAAAAGAAATACTCAGCTAAGCTGGGAAAATGTCAGGAATCCAAAACAACCCGTCCTAATGCAGTCAAAAATCTAAGAAGGCCTTCGAGCTGAATGAACTGAATCGTCTAACTTGACCTGCGTTATAAACCAGCAAGCAGCCATTATTACGAATTTCACTAATCACGACCCCATCTTGGCCTTTGAGTATCTGCCCCAGGTTGCTTCACATGTCCCAAGTCTACCATGATGGCTACAATAGCTAGGCTAAGCGATGTATCAAACATAGTATAGCATGTGAATTCAGCCTTTCCACATGCTGCTTTATATGTTATGCTCGGGATGATCCATCTTGTGAAAATAGTAGTACCTTTATTAATATTTAGCTAACATTACATCGACATATAAAAGCAGGTTCAATCCAGCTCTTTTCAGTTTTCATACGGTTCATTTCTTACAGTTCCATGAGCTATATCAGTTGTAAAAAGAAGAGCGAGCAAGCCAGATTGGAAGAAGAGAGCAGGATTAGAGAGGGGGATCTTTGCAAAAGTAGGTGCAAAAGCAGGTGGTGACCTTGCATTGTCCGACGCCGTTGGGATGTTTAGAGCACTCTAGAGAGCATTTCTGATTGTCACAATTGCTCAAGTGAAGCAGCTCATGGCAACTATGTTCAGGGATTCTCGCTGCGTCAGCGCCGCTTTGCACCACCGAATTGGAGGCCAATCCACCTGCCCTAATAATGACCAGTACATATATGAGTTCACTTAGATAATAGATATAATCGTTCTCGAGAAAATAAGGAAGGAAGGAAGGAAGGAATGGATGTACTTCAATTTAGTCTATGCTTATGCTAAAATTTGATCCATTCGATTTAAGATACAAGATAGATGGTAGGATTGAAGTGAAGAGAATAATTACCTGAGAAAACAAGGAGGAGCAGAAGATGAGGGAGCATAGAAGAAGGTGTTTCCATGGACGCGTAAACTCTCATTCGTCGTCCCGCTTTCTTCTCAAATTGGTGCTTCTATGTCTGTCTACAAGTACACGCTATGTTTAGCGGAGGGAAGGAAGGTACCTTGATATTCTCAAGATAGGTTGACACTTGATATAGACTAAACCAAAAAGGCAAACCACAGTTTCGGCAGAACCGCCACACGTATCTTGTTTTCTTTTTCAATTCACTTCTGAAACCTTTCAGTGAAATTTGAGAGAGAGCATGTAAATTCACTACTACTTCAGCACTTCACGAGCACATTGTTTGGTTTTCTGCTTACACAGGCTGGTCTTTAGCCACCCAACCAAACCTCCGAATCTTTTATTAATTCACTCATACCGTCAAGCATATCCAATCCAATATATATATATATATATATATGTATATATGTATATATATTATTAAAAAATATACATTTTTCCTGAACATATATATGTGCGCGCGCGCATACACATTGTGCATATAATATGAAATCTAGTTATATTTATTCGTCGGCCATATCCTATAACAATGGGCACATCAGATTTCGTGAAGTTCGAGAGCCACCTATTTATTTAGCTGTATCCTGTACATTGTTTAGAAGGCAGCAAGCACCAACCTGTAACAGAGTCTGAAAATAGGTTTAGGGGAAGTCCCATAACGCGGGTCCAAGCTTCATGATACGGTGCCTCAAGCGTGTGTGTGTGTGTGATAGAACACTGTGACGAGTATATGGAAATATATAAGAACGCATTTTCTGTATTTAGAATCAAATAGGACAAAAATGAGAGTCTAACGGCAAAAAAACTCGGATTCAAATCCAAATAAAGCCACGCAGTCCATCAAACAATACAACAACACGCGTTCAACCTAGTAACCGCCTTTAAGATCGTTGACGACGTCATATGGAATGGGGGTTACGGTCTCCAATGTAGCGCCTTCAACCATGAAACCAGGCTTAGGACCCACGGGCTGCCTCTTGGTGCTGATGACCTCTCCCCTGGCCTTTGCTTCGGCCTTCTTCTTATCGTTCTGAATTTTCCTCAGGCGGAACTCTTCAGTGCACCTTGAGGGCATCACATGCTCTACACGCACATGAATTCTCTTTCTGATAATCCTGTTCCCGACCTGGATTATGAACATTTATGTCAATTAAAATTACAAAGAAGAGTTAGTTTACTAACCCAGAAGAAATGGCAGGAAGACAAGCAGGAATTAGAGAATAATCAGATGATAAGAGGAAGTACATATGATTTCATGAAAAACAAGAATGCGAATAACAGGAATTTAGAAGGCAGATGGGATTGCAACACAAACACTGAAAGGGACTACTTTCTCTTTTGAATTATTCCACCAATTCACCAAGGTTGGGAATCAAGAAACAGAAACACTAGCAAGTCGTCTAGGACAATAGAAACTGTTAAAGCCGAAAATTTCTATATTCTATCTATGTAAGATTTTGATAAATCATCAAAACGAATAAGCTTGACAAAAGCTAACAACACAAGGAAACAGACTGAAGCAACTAGCAACAACAATCTCAGCAACGGTGGCTCCCAGTAGCCATTTTCAAAAAAATCTCAATTTTATAACATTACATTCCCATAATATCAATTAGAACGCAATGACAGTCAACGCCATGTTTTCTAAATTATCTGTGTATATTACATGATACATTAATAAACATCGTGAAATCAAATGCCGTAAAGCAATCAATTTGTTAAAAATTTGTTTGACATATCACACAAAATCGAAACAACTACAACCTTGTGCGAACGGAATGAAAATTGAAAATTCAGTACACCATATTAATCATACCAAGGACATCTGGCCCCCGCAAAAGAACATGTAATCAAAGAGAGTTCCGCAACAAAAGTACCCATCACCTTAACTATTTCTGGACACGGAAATAGATACACGGGATGCTATTACACAAAACTCAAAATATGTTTGTATTGATTTTTAATAACGGGTAACCCCAAACCAAAACCAAATTACAGAGAACAGTAATCAGAGAGCTTTGTACCTGCTTGTTCACCTCGACACCGATTGCACGCTTAGTTACGTTCCAGACACGGCCGGTGCGTCCATGGTAAAACTTGTGAGGCATACCTTTGTGGACCGCACCATTAACCTTGATATCTACGTAGTCGCCGATTTTGTAAGTTCTTAGGTAGGTTGTCAGTGCTATAGTACCCTTCTTCCTGAATGGCCTAGAGAACGAGTCCCTGGTTCGAGATCTTAAACCATGCCCAGCCGGCATCTTCAGATAATACTAGGGTTTCTCTGCGAAGTTGAAGTGAAGTGCTGTGCAGCTGAGGCAACCGCTCTTCTCCCGCGCTGTGTTTGGCTTCGTTTATAGCTGGCAAATGGAAACCTACGTCTAGGGTTTTGTTTCCGCTTCGGCCCTTATTGGCATGGGCACTTTAAGCAAAGATGGGCTTATTCGTTGGTTCAGAATACTTCTAGCCCAATCAGATGGGCCTCTTGTTACGAAGCACAAAACCATGGGCCCATAACCTAAAAAGCGCTATTACTTTTTTGCCCTTTTCTTAATATACCGGCACTTTTGGAAAATACACAAACAAATCAAACCTACGACACTTTTTATTTTTTAATCAGAATATATTTGAATGTATTGCATCTAATTTGAGAAATGATTTGTGCTTCCTATAAAAAAAAAATAAGAAAATGACTTGTTCTGTATAAATAATATAGTTTATGATCAATTTATTCTCGTTTTAAGGTTTAAACATTCTAGAATCAGTGTCTGTGAATTTCTTTGAAATTTTCTTTTTTTAGTATTTTTTATCATTTTTTATAAAATATAAGATATTATTTTTTAAAAAAAGTCAGGCTTCACAGAAATAATTAACACATATCTGAAAATTTAAATCATTTAATTATTTTATATCAATGATAGAGTAGGATTTGATGGATTGCCAACCATTTTTTAAAAAATAGAAAATGACAAATAAAATTTATTGAAATAGATAAATAATAAAAGAGTACCATGAAATAAGAAATTTATCCTAAAATTTATAGGAACCTATTTAACATTACTTTTTGCATTATCACTTACGAATTACGCGCTAGTGGCAAGGTCGATATATATATTATTTTTTTATTTTACAATAAAATTTACTCTCTCTCTCTCTCTCTCTCTCTCTCTGTGTGGCCAACATTATCAGTTGGGTTCTTAATCTTGTATAATAATTTTATAATGTTTTGAAAACGCTAATAATTCTTCTTAGATTTGAATGATATTCTTTTAGGGGGAAAAGTCCCTTTAAAGCAGCTGACCATGGCATGTAGTAAGTTAGAAACTAAAGTCCAAGAAAGCTCTTCTGAGAAAAAAAGAAACGAGAGTTCAGAATGGCCACCGCATCCTCTAAAGTCGACGTGGATGGGTCACTGGAAAAGCGCCTCCCCCCTTCCTTCAGTCTCTTCTTCTTCTTTTGGGCGAGAGCAATGCCGATTGTGGGTGGGAGTGAGCTTTTCCGGTTGGCTTGCAGGTACGTTCAGGCCCGCACTCACACCTTCGATGCCGAAGCACGGGCTGCTCGCGCTGTTTTAAAGTATGATGTATATGTACTCCATTACTGATCCTTTTTCTTCATTATTTCCCTACTGTTCATGCCATTTGCACTGTGAAAGCCATACTCTTCTGATATTTGAAGTCCAACAGATGAGTCCTTGTGCCGCAAATCATCTTGGACAAGGATACATGTGTGTATATTTGGTTTGATTCGTCTCGCCTGTTATCTGAGTTTTGATCTTTAGCTGAAAACGTAACGTGTGTTTTGAAATTATCATGGGTGGATTTATAATTTCTCTACACTGGTTTGCCCTGAACTGAACTGGGTAAACTTGGCTTGGCAGCCAAAAAATCGCCCTTACTTATGGGATGACACAGGTGGTCCAGGTAGACGATAAAGTAATCTTGATTTTAATCTTCTAGAGGAAAAGGTCAAGAAGCAAAGTGGCTGTCGCTTGCTGAAACTCAAGCCCCTGCTGCACTTATAGCCCTATCCATTATTATTCCTATTTTGTTGTATGTGGAAGATTGACAATTTTTTTGGACATTCTAGTCACTTTGCTTTATTTTTTGGCTCTAGCCCTAGTCATTATCAATCTATTAGATAGTTTGCTGGTGGGCTTCTGTGCCTTCCACCAAAATAAAAAATCATAAATGCTCCAGAATTGTACTTTGTTTTTTTTTTACCACCGAATTTTACTTTGCTCTTAAAAGAGTTTTTACTTTTTAGTATTTTGGAATTGACTGGGGAGTCAAGCATAATCCTTCATGGTATAACACGAAATGAACAGCTCAAAATTTCATTGTTGACAAACATGACCAAATCACACGCGCCAATGCCTTGGAAATGAAAGAGAGACGAAGAGGATTGGAGTGAAGCTAAACAACACAGATGCCTTTGATAGTCGATCAAGGAAAAAGAAGATTATGATCTTACAGACTTTGAAGGACTGAAAAGGGACGATCATTGGGAGCAGAACCAGGGGTGCAACAAGCGAGAAATGACCTGTTATGTGCCAACGGCAACGACATGTAGAAGATCGCTCATCGTCTCTCTATAAATTCTCTCAACACATCGTTCACCTGTTTAAGATCAATACCTGCTTTAACATTCAATCCAATCTTCTCATCGGCATCTTTTATAGCATGTTGCTCTCAATTTGACTTCCTGTATCATTCCTCGTGCTTTGACAAGTATATATATCAGTACACCATTTTGCGGGGGCGGGCGGTAACTTACTATTTGCCCCTTTTCCTTATAAATTTGGCTTCGTGACTTTGACCCTGTTTAGGACCAGTGTGGAAATAATCCATCAGTTTACACTGCTAAATAATGATTAAAAGAAAAGAAATATATCACTTTATTTGTCCAGCTGCATAATGTCACTAATATTAAGTAACATCTCTTCTCATGATTGCAAACAGACTTTCACCAAATTGGTAAAAATATGACTCAGGCCTCGTGAAAACGCTGGTTCATGCGTGTTTTGTTGTTGAACAATCTATATACTTCATTTTATAAGTACAAGGTTAGTATTTCCTATCTTGTTGATATTTTTATATCCAATTCACTTGTACAGTTCAAGTTCCCAAAAAAACTGTTCCCTTTTTCCCCTTGTCTTCCATTTGAGTTGCGGGGTAACAAACAGATAAGAAATAAATTTTATATATAAATCAAAATTATATTATAATCCTATCTAGCAAGGTTGAAAAGCAAGGAGGTGGTCACTGTATGTTAGAATGTCGACACCAAACGGTGCTATTTAAGCCATTTTGTTGTATTTGAAGGAGACTTTTTCTTTATGGCGTTTTCTTTGCGTCTCTTGTACATCCCTTCGTGATATTTTCTTTATGGCATCTGGTCCTTCCCACCCCAAACAATCAGCTCTAAGATGGTGGGGGTTCGTGACGCTATCCAACTTTTTATCAATTTCACAAAACTCCATCTGATTTTAACTACAAGAATTACTTTTAATTCTCGTAAATAAAAAATTTGTGCTGGCTTTTCAAAATATTGTTTTTTAATCACTTACATTTGAATATTTCTGATAAAATGCACACATCATGCAAAAATCTAACTGTATGAGTATTAAAAAAAAGTTAAAAATTCAGGAAATAGAGGGTATTAAAATTTTACATTTAAGATCAAAACAAATTCTTAATTAATTATCATACCAAAATATACTATTATAATGTTACTTGTCACTGACGTTTTTAACTTTTTATGCATTATTCATGATAAGAGATCATTCCAATTAGTAGAGTGAATTAAAAAACTTATCCCACAATGTGAATGCAATTATCTCTCTCTTTCTCCATTATGAGTAGCAGAGTTTCCCGTCACCTAAACAAGCCGTCACATTATCAAATAATTAAAAGTTGTGAATTTTGAATTGTTTTGTCATTTTGACCAAAAAAATTTTCATTGCGAGATAATATTCTAAGTTTATATATATAATTGCCAAAGTCTTAAATTTGTAGTTTTCTATTTATAAAAAATAGACCCAAAATACACGCTACCATTCAGATGCACGTAAAGTCCAGCTTCACTTGTATGTACAAAACCTACGAGGAGACAGTGAAAGCAATGCAGGTAGCGACTAATGCTAGCACCAGTCTATGATGGAATATCTTTGATCATCCCCCACTTTTTTGTCTTAAGGCGATGGATGATAACAAATTATGTTCTCTGGCTTTAGACTGGGTTGCATGTATTTTTTGATGTGTTGATCCATTTTCTAGTTTAAAAAAAAAAAACAGCAAGAAGGTGACGAAACTAGTGCAAGTAGCGTAGTCACCATAATAAGAGCCAGCTCTTGAATCCTTTAAGATCATTGTAGTGGAGTCACTCAAAAAACTCCTCCCCTCCTCTTCTTGCTTTATTTTCTTTCTCCTTCTCTTGTTTCGGGACCTGATAGATGTAAAAGATCATGAGTTCTCATGAAGCATTTCGCTGACCAAAGTAGGACTAAAGCGGGACAAATTAAGCCACTTCTACTTTTACCTTCATGACAACCAGAGCAAACCCAATCGAACAGCCATGAGAGTGGCGAAGGCTCTAACCACCGACGCTTTAAAGATGCAATCTAAAGCAATGATGATGATGACAACCCCTTGATGGAGGGGCCAGAGCTGAGTTCGAGGACGAGGAGAAGAGCACAAGGAAATACGCATTTGCATCACAGAGCGAGTTGGCATATTTGATGGCGTTGACCTTCCATTTCAACGATGGCAAATACAATGGAAGCAATTTGAGCATTTTGGGGCATGATGCCGTGGCTTCAAATGTGACAGAAATGCCAATTGTGGGTGCAAATGGGCTTTTCCGGTTTGCCTATGGCCATGCTTACACCCACACTCACATCTTCAATTTTACAACGGGGAATGCTGCCGTGGACTATAATGTCTATGTCTATCTCACACACACATGCTCACACATGTGTACATCCTACTTTGTTATCCTCCCTTCTTTCTCTTCTCATCTTAAGATTTCAACTTTAAAGCACGGATTCGTGTATTGCAATCCTCCTTGTTGGAGGGTTGATTAATAAAAAATTAAAGGAAGGAATCCGTCTATATTGCAGACAGTGTTAGAGAAGGACATGTGCTTTATATACATCTTGTTTGACTCCTCGATTACTAGGACATTTTGTTTGTGGCAGTGACCAAGAATTGTTGCTACAGGATGCAAAACCGTTGCATATAAGTACAGGCATGTGGAACTTGCCCGCGTTACCTATAGTCTAAGAAAATAATTTTTTTTCATATTTTAGGTCACAAATTATAAAATCATTCCCTATAGTAAGACAATAGG